GGTCAGAAGACCAAGCAGTCGTAAGATCGAATCCATGCGATGGAGCGAGCTCCCGTCGCTTGTCCCAGCTCCCACCAACCTAGCGGTTCGAAAGCATGCAAATGCAAGTAGATAAATAGGGACCACCTCGGTGGGAAGGTAACAGCGTTCCGTGTCTAAGTCGCCCTGGCCATGTGACCACGGAAGATTGTCTTCGGACAAACGCTGGCTCTATGGCTTGGAAACGGGGATGAGCACTGCCCCCTAGAGTCGAACACGACTGGACAACAATTGTCAAGGGGAACCTTTACCTTTACCTTTAATATATTGGCTAGGAGACTTAGGATCAGACTATATTTCACAGATTGCAAGGCATTAGGAGCTGAAATCTGTCAAGTCTTCCACAGACATGTTTCTCGCTGACCTTTACAAGGAAGAAAACGAATGAACTGCAAATGACCAATGGCGAAATGAAGCAAGTTAATTTGCCCGCGACAACACGTGTGAAAAGTTTGTTTTGCAGTAATCACGTTTTCAGCAGTTAAGGAATTCCTTCCTCTAGTCTGTATATTACTACTACTACTGCTGCTACTGCTGCTAATAATAATAATAATAATGTGCCATCAAATCAATTTTAAATTATGGCGACCCTTATCAGGGATTTTTGGTATTACTCAGAAGTTGTTTACGATTCCCTTCTTCTGGGGGCATCCTGGGACTGTGCAGTTTGGCCAAAATCACACAAGCTGGTTCTTCTACCTGGAAGCACAGAATCCAAGTCCCAGTCTCTGGCCTCTCAGCCAGATACTTAACTCACTGTAGTTTTAAAACACAGCCCTAAATCTCTAGATCTAATCTCACTTTACAGGATTGTTTCAAAGATGATCACCCAATAATGCATATGAACACTCTGAACACTGAAAACACGGTATATAATGAAGTGTTTACACGGCACATGCTCCTATGTACTCAAGCTCTGCCACTGTGGGAGAAATGTGAAAACCATGATGGGCCTGATTTTGCCCCAAAATACTGAGTTTATTTGAGCAAGGTCATAATATTCTGAGGTACAGAAGGAAAAAATATTAAGAACAGCAGCATAAATTTAACTCAAATGCAAGTAAAACCTCCCATCTCATTAACTGACCAACTTTAATGCCAACTAACTGTTCCTTAAAAAAATAAGTTGGCTAGACTCTAAGAACATAACCAATAGTAATAGTTTTTATTGTCCATAAAACAAAGGCAAAAAGTCAAAAATAAATTGTCAGTTGATGGAACTTTTTTTTGGCTCCAGCACAAGAGCAAAAAGACCAGAAAGGTTTTTTTCCTTTTTTTTTTTTTGCAGTATTACTTTAAAAAAATCTGCAGGTTTTGCACAAAAAATACTTTGTGCACATCTCTGTACATAATACATTTTTGACACAAAACATATATCAGTGGAGACTGGAGCCTAGCAACTGGAATCTCTCATAAGGAGCAGATGGGAGCCATGACCCAGCAGCAGTATCTGATATGTGAGGGCCAAGAGAACAAAATCAAGACCAGGAATAACATTGTTGCTCAGATTCCAAGTCTGAAGCCTTTTACAGACTCTGCTGCCTAAGTGACCCAGTCCTGATACAGCAGATATTTCACTGTTAGGAAGAGAGAGCAGCCACACACAGAATCCAAGTTCTTCCATTTTACCCTCCAGCTCCTGACATCTTCACTCATTATGATGAAAAAAGTGTTCCATGTAATCAAAGGGCAGCAAGATGGCACAAGCAATACGGCCCAGCCGCATCTATAATAGATAGGAGTGCCTACAGTGAAGAAGACTGCACATGTAACCTTGCATGTATATGGGATTCCCTGCTGTAGATATCAATGGGAGATATTGGTGGCGGGACAAATTCTGCATGTGAAAGGTTTGGCCCTCAGTAGCTCCTGCTGGGTTGGAACATACTTTGCATGACCAGCATTGTGAAGCAGAGTAGCAGTGGTTCTAGAGAGAGATAAAAAGCAGAAGACATGCTCTGTAGAAAACAGGAGAAGATAAAAGAAGTAGAAAGAGCCTGAGAACTAGGAGAAAATCCAAAGAACCATCACAGCATGCTGCAGAATAGGTGGCATTTCATCCTTGACTTGAAAAAGCTAGCCTGTTTTTTAGGCTACTGATCTTTTGCCCAGCCATATGAAAATGTTGTTTTGGAAACTGGAAGCCTTCAACAGAAAGCTTGTGAAAATATACAATGCTCGGGAAGAATTTACTCAAACCCATCTAATCATCTTAAGGGGCAGAAAGCAAGAGAGATTTTAAGAATGTTTCATATCATTGACTCATTTGAAGAAAAACCTTAGCATCAACATAATATTCTGGTATTACCAATGATTAAGAGCTCCTGAGAGGTAATCTCTACCATCTAACAGACACTTAGAAATCAAGTGTGGGATTGTTAGGGTGGCCAAAGGCCAGGGTTGGATTATCCTGTTAGAGGTATAGATTTGATTCTGCATACCTCTAACAGGCACAATGACTGTTCACAGCATAGCCTATTATTATATGTTAATGTCCCTGGATTTTGTTTTGCTGTTAATATCAAAGTGTTAACAAAAGAAACACCAAATTAGTCCCAGGCATTCAGGATTTTATTTTTCACAGGTGAGTAACCAAAAGCAGAGATGAAACCAAATTGCACAGATTCATTAGACACTGTCTTTTATATTTAACAGTGTTTGACCCAGGTTTAATACTAGCAGCTGGCAACAGGATTGTTTTGGATGGCTAGACTTTTCTGATTCTGTTACATATCTCTCTTGGCCTTGGTTCTTCTTAATAAAAAGCACACATACACTTTTTGCATCACAGCTCCCCTTCCTCCAATTTTATAACCTGTTACCTCTGGTTCAGGACCTTGTATAGCACGCTATTCCCTCCCCCCCCCTTCAATGACTGATAGTCTCCAGAGGAAGTAGATCAACCCTTTTTTCAATAAGTACAGAGTAAATGATTCATTTACAAAACCACTACTGCAACCAGGAGTGTTCGTGTATAAAAAAAGAAGGGGGGAGATGAAATGAGGGAAACACAAAAAAGTCAGAAAGAACTCAAGTTTAAAAACACACAAATGGGAACAAATAATGACCTTCCAAAAGTCATATCAGGGTGGAAATGTTTAAGTTTCACTAGTTATGGGATAAAACTCTCATTTCTGAGCATGTGTTTCAAACTATCCCTCCAGTCAACCGCACAGTTCAATTCACACATGACATTCTCTAGATTAGAGATAAAATTCTCAATTCTGACCCCACTGCCATATGGACCTGATCAAAGCCCCCTTCACTCTATCATTAATGACTGAGGCCTTCTTTCCATAGAAAATATAGTGCATCGCATATCCTGCATAGTAAATACAAAATATCATTTTGAACTAGGATAATCTAACACCACTAAAGAAAATGACTGTAATCCAGGCAATACATGAAGACCTTACACAGTTTACCTTTGAGTGTCAGATTATGGATATATTTCTTTTGTTAATGAATCCCTTTACAAAACAAGTGCTCATCTGCTGAGCTCATTCATTCAAAATCATACTTTATAATTCCTCAGCATGAATACATAAGTAAAGAATTTTGTATGCATATAGATATGTAGGTTGTCATTTTTTTTCTTCTAGCAGTAGTCTTTCTGCCACTCAAATTCTGGGGGATGCCACACCCCTTTTGGAGCAGCTTTAAAGAAGGCTGAGATGTACTGTTTTGAGGATGAAGTTGAATACCCCATACTCTCACAGTGCCCACTGCATTCCAGCCACACTAATGTTCAAACCAGTTTTGTTTTTGCAAAAGATTGGAACACATACTCATTCTGTATGCTATAGAAATAACTGCATATATGCACCAGTTTAAACTCATAGTGCATGGCTCTCGGACACAAAACTACAGTGCACAACTATGGCTGCACCTCTAGCCAGGTGAAGGGGAACTTTATTACTGACTTCCGAAGAGTCAAAACTCTGCATATTTCAGGCCCCCTTTAAAAAAGGGCAGGTTGATTGGGTGAAGTGGGCATTAACAACACTAAAAAGAATCTCTTGGAAACGTTCACAAGAACCTTAAAACCTTCAGGCTCCGGTCTTGAATTTAAAAAACAAAACAAAAAACAGTGCTCTGTCTTTTCAGCAATTGACAAGGAATTCAGAGACAGGACTGAGTGATCTTGAGCATCCAAACCAAATACATTCAAGAATTACGCAGCATGCTGAGAATATAGGGACCTTATCAGTTCACCGTTCCGGAAGAAGAGTAAGTGCCCAAACATTGTTAGGGGGAAAATGTTCCAAGCACATATGGTTCCCCTCATTCTGTAAATTCAGCACAGCTGCAGCAAATAGGATATAGCAGCCTCTGATGCAAGAGTTTGCATGTTTAAGATTGAAAAGACAAGCTAGAATTTCCATGGATTATCTGCTGCAGTGATCTTGTTCAAAAAGCTGATCCTCTGTGGCATATAAAACAGCATGGATTATAGCGATCTTAAAAAAAATATTTACAGTCATCTCAGTTTATTTGCAGGAGTCTTTACAATATATCAGATCTTGTAGTGAGTGTGTATCTTGTGGCACTGCCCCGAAAACAGGACTTCCTAATGAAGCGCAATGGTACAGAGATGGGTTCTTACTTAACCTTGCACCTTTGCCAGGTGTTGTGGACCAACCAGCTCAACAACCTTGTTGATGTGCTGGGGAGGGGGCGGAGAAGAATATTAAGCACACAAAACACCATCTAGGTAAAATTGTCAGATAGTTCAAGCTTTAACTCTTCATTATGATGACAGTTTGTTCTCTTGGGAATGACCCTTAAAATTTACTGTATGAAACAAAACATTATTCCAACATTCTGCAAAACTGACCTCAAGAAGAAATAGAATAAACTTTATATAGTTTTTTTTAAAAGTAAAAAGGGTCTTAATCTAATAATAACACCAAGGGTATTAATATGGCACTGTCCTAGATATCTGTAGATATATCTAGGCTAGGCTGGAGTTCACAAAGCTTTACGCATGGGCTTTATTTTAAAACTGGAATTGTATGTGTTACAATGTGAGAGCTTAGGCCTAGGAAGGACATATGCCAATATGACAAAAACACCTGAGCAGATGGAAATCAACAAGGACTGGATGTACATTTATAAATAAGGCTGGGCCTATGCCTGTGTCAATAAAGCAGGGGCACAGCCCTAGCTGTGTAACAGAATTTCAGGACTATCAGAGAGATAGGTGAGTCCAATGAAGATTCAGCAGAGTTAGAAATGCAGAGGGGGGAATGGACAAAACTGTAAATACAATTTTTAACACTTAGCACCCTGTTGATTGAAATCTGGGAGTGCCGCTTTCCTAAGAGAGCTAATACCACAGAAAAGCTTAGCTGACAGATTGAGAACAAAGGCAGAACATCATTCAGTCAGAAGAAGTCTGCTGGACAAAGAAAAAGGGAAAACAAAATGTTAAAAGCCACAGGCAAAAAACAGACAGACAAAACCAACTGGTTGCTGCTAACTTTGGGTTTGCATTCTCAACTAAAGAGAAGCCCTCGGAAGGCCTTTGTACGACTTGGTCAAATACTATCCTATGAACCCCTTGGGAGCAGGTAACTACTTTGCATTTAGAAACACATTACTACTATTTTGAATGTCAAGTGCAGAAGAGATTAGATTGAGGCCATTGAGTGGCAAGTGACAGCAGCTAATGATTTGCAAGATATGGATGAACTTCATCTTAACAAGGCCCAAGGACTCTGGTTGCTGAAGATGCTGTCCCCCTCCATCTCCTCCTTTTCTCTGGCTGACCTTCAAGCAGGGAATCCAGAACCAGGCCCAGTTTGGCCTCTTTGCTTGCAGGCACATTTCCGGAACAAATGGATCACCTCTTTTGCCCTTTCTATCTCTTGCCAATTCCATTGGTTACTTTTGTTTTTGAATGGCGATTCCTCCTCCTGGATGAGTGGCTCTCGTTGTTGCTTGAGTGTTTGGGTGGACTGTCATCCATTCCTAAAAAGCAATCCATACACGTACAGGTACACATGAGATGTGCAGTCAAGTTAAAGAGGAATTTTTTGCTTTTCACAAATGTGATCCCTGGGTTTGTTAATGCCTATTAAAAATAATTTAGTTGAAGCCAGTATGCCTCCTGGTGGTTTAACCACCAAGTCTCACCCTATCTCCAATTTAGTACACAATTCAACCACTGCTTAATAAGAACAAGCCTTTTAAAAATCTTTTCTCAATTTGGATATGAGTAAAGTGAGTAGCTAACATGTAGGTATACTGTCAAACCTAGACAGCATCTTAAAAGGCAGAATCACCTTGCAGACAAAGATCCGCATAGTCAAAGCTATGGTTTTTCCAGTAGCAATGTATGGAAGTAAGAGCTAGACCATAAAGAAGGCTGACTGCTGAAGAATTGATGCTTTTGAATTGTGGTGCAGGAGGAGACTCTTGAGAGTCCCCGGGACTGCAAAGAGAACAAACCTATCTATTCTGAATGAAATCAATCCTGAGTGGAAGGACAGATCCTGAAGCTGAGACTTCAATACTTTGGTCATCTCAGGAGAAGAGAAGACTCATTGGAAAAGACCTTGATGTTGGGAAAGTGTGAGGGCAAGAGGAGAAGGGAACGTCAGAGGACAAGATGGTTGGGCAGTGTCATCGAAGCTACCAACATGAATTTGACCAAACTCCGGGAGGCAGTGGAAGACAGGAGGGCCTGGTGTGCTCTGGTCCATGGGGTCACAAAGAGTCGGACACAACTTAATGACTAAACAACAACAACAAGGTATACTGTCAGTTAAAACTCAACAGCAGGGCTGGTGTAGGGCTCTGGAGTTGAGATGGACAAAGTTTTACAAGAAAATCTTAAGGCTGAATGACATGTTATACCTGTCACCTGAAGATGCTGTTTCTTAAGTGCAGATTTTATGCAAGTGTCATACTAGGGATTTTTTTTTTGTTCTCTGTAATTCTAAATTAGCTCACTTTGTTTTTGTGATTGTTCTTCAGGATGTTCTCCTTTTGCTAATCTGATTTCTCAGACACAAAAGAATGTCTCAATAATACGTCTGAAAGGTTAATGTGATTTCAGTTCTCATGACGGATAAAGTATAGTTTAGTTTACGAAGGGGAAAAGAAACATTTTGGTCCAGCTTCCCGAACACTAGGAAAATCTACGAGCTGTGCACATAAGCAGGGAAGGATATAAAGGATGAGGGGTGACAGCTGAGGAATATGTCCATGTGAAAAAAGAAAGATAATTGCTGTGGGGAGGATAAGCTGAACAAACAGCAAGGAGAAGAATCCTCACTCAGCTAGGCCTAGGAGCCACTGTCACCTTGCTTAGTCTCCTAAACCGAAGCCATGAGCTATATAAAACCAATACTTCTGATGCTCCTGTAGCTGAACAGGGAACCACATGGGCAGAATTCTTTTGCCCATCTAGTGGGGATACACACATGAAACCCTGTGTGAGAGAGCCACGCCACCACTAGGCCATGGCCAGCCCAGATCCTCCTGTTTGTTTTGCCATCTCTTTCCAACATTATGCTGACTCTCAGGCAGAGGGTGACTGAGGAAGCTTTAGATAAGTCTCAGATCTTGACAGGAGAATATCTAGGAGTCCTTATCAAGGCATTGTCTCTTTCAGTCTACAAAACCTTCTGCAGCCTTTAGTCTGAGCAAGCAGAAACCAGCTGTCAGGTTCATGGGTACAATCTTTTGTTGAGCTGTCAGAGCATTCAGTTAAACCCAATACTCCAAATTTACCAGTTTTATTCAGATCAAATAGAAGAGATAAGGGAGGATACAGAGAGGGAGCATGAAGAGACAATAGACAATCTTCAACAAGAATTTCAAACTTAATCATGAGGAACAAAGTTCACCCATGTATATGACCATTTTTCATTAGAATTTATTGTGATTCTTAATTTGAAGGAGGTTGATGAACAGCTAAGTCCTCTAATCAGGGATGACAAATTGAGACTGTATCCATCTCTATGGTTTATGTACACTAATGACATGGCTCTGGTTAATCAGAGTTTGGAAAAGTAAGTCAAAATCTGGGCAAATCCAGTATATATGCAGAGAAGTACCTGAGGAGATGAGCCACTGGCATTTTGCAACAATCCAGGAAGGCTTAAGTAAAAGGTGAGAACTGTAAGAGATGTTTAGCGTACTTCTAGTAGACAGAGCCACCAGAGGAATTCCTATCAGTAGGTATGGAGCACATGTAAAATACAGAGCGCTATCAAATGGAGAAGCTACAATGGAATTTTAGAGACAAGTGCTGAGTTCCCAAGCTTTTTCACCACACTCTGCAGAGGGGGCTTCAAAGCCCAGAGCAACTGTTTGGAGTACTGAAATAAATAAAAATGCCTATAGTGTGGGAATAATAATTTCAATATGCTGCATTGCAAGTTGAAGATTACAGACAACTCAAGATTACAGGCGCACTCAAATAAAATGTAACTGCAGTGCCAAATGGAGTTTCAGTGACTGGGCAGAACCTATCTAAACATGGACATGCACCATATACACAGGAAGGAGGGAGGTGAATCTAAGACAAAGTGAGTGGGGAGGTAGGTAGTGAGAGATTATGCTAAGAAGAAGAAGATACTAAAAAGTTAGAAACTGATCTGTAATTAGGGCTGAAAGCCTAACTGGTCCAGCGGCAATTCTGCTTTTTTAAAAAAGTGCACTGGTGACATTGGGACCAGATGAAGTTTATGGCGCCATCTGATTGCACCTTTAATAGAAGTTACTTCTTTGGATTACAGTCTCCAGAAATCCTTACCTATGTTGGCCAGGGGCCTCTGGGAGTTGTAGTCCAAAAAGTAACTTTTATTTTATTTTACTAGCTTTCACAAGTTATAGGCTGAGGAGGTAAATGTAAAATGGCCTCCAAGGAATATTTGGCTGAGGTGTGTGAAGGATGAAAAACTGAAGGAGTTTTATGGCGACTGATAAAAATGGAACAAAACATATCATGTAAAGCACCAATACCTCTAGTAAATTTCGAGTTGAACCAGGAAGCATCTGGGATGTACGCGCTGTCTTCACTTTCTGACAATGTCTGTGGAGACAAACAGCGTTATTCTCTCTGTGAGTGTGTTTGTGTGAAAGAGATCTTTATAATATGTGCTTCTTTTCAAACAAATAATGTCAAAATTGTAGGTGATTGGGAAACTACTAAGTGCCCCACCAGGGTTATGCAAATCTAGCAAGTGAATCCAAATCCACCAGGCTGAATTAAAACTTCAGGGTTTTGTCAGGCAATACAAACCATTCCCATCTTGCCCTCCGCTCACATGCAGTGATAACCTTTATGGACTCTTCTGCTCTACTTCAGAGGACTGGAATGAGAACTACACATGTATATGAAAGCGATCTGGGCCTGACAGTTGTACTTTGATCACGCAAGAGGCAAGCCAGCAAATTCATGCACAAACTGAAATGCCAATTTTTCTTAATGGGGTGCAGAAACACAGACAGGAAAAGAAAAGGGATAATTAAAACCACATGATTTGTCATGGTGCATAAACTTGGGAGGTAAGGGCAATATTTAGACACAGTTGGTCAAAACCATATTTTCAGAGCTCAACCCTTGGAACTGTAGTTCAGAAAAGTAACTTTTCAAAGCTCTGTCTGGGGAGAAAATACCCTCTTTCCATATTTCACGGCCGCTGTTTTTGAATTATAACTTCTCAACCCACTCTTGTTGTCTTGACTGACAAATTCTGTGAGTTGTAGTCAAAAATGTAACTGTTTTTATGATGAACTACTTTACCTGGCCCTTTGTCTAACTGAATGCATCTAAGAAGGGGGCTTTCAATCTTGCCAAGAATTCTGATCCTTTGTCTCACTCTTGACATTTTTGTACCTCTTACTACTAGAATCTCAAATATCATCCTTACATGTAAATTCATCTTCATCTCCTGAAGATTTAGCAAATGATTTTTAACATGCCTTATGCAAAAAAAGAGAGAGAGTACCTTATACATGATTTAACATTTCTGACATATATTACCTTTTCTCTCTGTCCATAGTGGTCTGCATACCAAACCATTCCATACAAGCATAAGAAAGTTGTAACAGCCTACAATATTAAAAACAGAAAAAAGGGATGAGAAGAGTCATGTCCCAGAGACATTATTGGCCTAAATTCAACAGGAAGGAGTAACTAGACTAGACTTGTTGTATCAACACCTAGCTAAATCCACTGATACCATGGGTCTTCTCCAGCTAAATGAAATTTAGATGTTTATTTTTTTAAATGACAGGTATCTGATTTATATTCCTTATTTTACAAATCATATCAAAGCGGCTTCCAATATATAGTTGGTGTAATGTGAATAGATAGTGAAGAACAACATCAACACTGAATGAAGCCTTTTTAATAATATAGAAACAGGAGCCAATTGTACTGCAACTGCTGTGTATCATTTTCACTGCCCTGACAATGTTCTAAAAACCTAAGAACTGTGGTTAGGTGAGGAAACTGAGAATTCTGCTAGAAACAACTTAACTCTGTTTCCATATCTGTATAGATATTACATGCAACTCATATATGCATATGTGCAGACAGGCACACGTATACAGATATGATTGAGCCTACACCTCCTCGCCCCCCATAAATAAATCATACAGACACAAGATTATTCAGGAACAATACTTCTCACTTACTAACTCCTCTGCAAATGCACTTTGCTGATGATGCTAACATTACAGTACAATTCCAAACATGTCTTCTCAAAAGTCTCATTAAGGTCAAAGAAGCTTAACATCTAGTATTTATGCCCAGGACTGCCATCGTTAACATCTTTTGGTCATTTGACAGTACTGTAAATCAATTATTCGATCCCTGTGCTACGCACCTAAAGTCAGCTTCCACATCAGCAGAAACTGCTGCTAATACCTTCTTGGAGACTTAACATCCACATAAAGGGTGGAGTATACGAATGTGGAATGGGAAAGTGTTGCCATGCCTCTTCCCTGATATGGGGCACTGCTCAACTCTGGATGTCTCTGGAAGTCTGTGTATTGACCAGGACATCAACGAACGGAAGGCTTCCCATACACATCAAGGCTTCTGTACAATTCAGAATACAAACACTAATAGCCTTCACAAACAGACCAACTACCACCCTACTATGACTCCTGTTATCGGTAAGCAACTAAATTGGCTTTTGTCAGTGTATTATGAGAAACATAATCACATTTACACAGCACTAACTTGGGAACAGCTCCAAGAGAGATAATTCTCCTGCACCATTTTTGCTTAATTATACTTTATTTAAAAGCAATTAATCTAACCAAACTGATAAACTGCTATGTTAAATTAAAATTACAGCTATGATTATGAACTTGCTATGACTTGCATACATTTAGGCAAAATCTAGTTACTACTATGGAGGCTAGCCATCTTGATCAAAGATGGCAACAAAAATAGGGCTACCGAGGAAGAAGTACTGGTATTTATGCCTGAGCAGGTTACGGCTGTCCTGATAATTTCTGAAATTTAACTACTGAGGAATACTAATGGGAAGCTACAACTACTTAGAAGTAAATCTTGGAAAGGGTAAAACAATAAAGTGCGCAAAATAAAAGAGAAATAACTGCTTACCACACAAAGGAGCCATAACACAACATACAGTATTTGAGTTTTGGAGAAGAGGTCTTGGCCAAATTTGATGCAGACAATAGCTTCAAGGAAGGCAATAACTCTGAAAGGAAGGAAAAAGAAAGAATGTGCATACATGGGACATTTTATAATCTCCAGGGTTTTTTTTCCTGCATGATGTTGTGAGTCAGTTTATAGTAATTTTCATGTTATTATGAAAGTAAAGTTGAGGACAATCTTAAATAGTGTATACCTTTGCAAGCTTTAAAAACTACATCTCCACCTTTCCACTTTCAATTGAGATGCTATTTCATTTTTCTCTTCATATTTTTTTCTCCTTCATCTTGCAAAGTACTGCACAGATGGCTCTTTAGAAAGAAATGATCCACAATGGTGGTGGTGGGGAGAGGTACCCCCCCTCATTAGACCACAAGATGTAGGTGCCCTTAGACTGTTTGTCATATCTTAGTAAAATGCTTTCAAATATAAGCACACTGAGCAGAATATTCATTTCCATTATGTCTCTCTTCATAGATTATCAGCAGGTACAGGCCAACATAAATAGCAGATGATAGATAGATAGATAGATAGATAGATAGATAGATAGATAGATAGATAGATAGATAGATAGATAGATAGATAGATAGATAGATAGATAGATAGATAGATAGATAGATAGATAGATAGATTAGATGGATGGATGGATGGATGGATGGATGGATGGATGGATGGATGGATGGATGGATGGATGGATGGATGGATGGATAGATGATAGACGGATGGATGGACGGATGGATGGAGAAAGAGAGAGAGAGAGAGAGAGAGAGACTAGTTCCAGAACAGTAAGAGAGTCTATAGTTGAAGAAATAGTTAATTCCTAGTTACTTAGGTATAAAACCAGCCTTCAACTTAGTGATTTGGAGGCTGTCTGATGAAAAAAACATCCCCATGTCTGTATACTCTAAATATTGCCTCTAAAAGGAAACTTTGGTGTTGAATACCACTAGAGTGGCAAAATGATGCTATTTCAGTTTGTGGAGGACAAAGTACAGAGTAATGAAATGGATCCGGGCTTGCAAGACTGAAGAAATTGGCCTTTTTGATTAGCAGGGATGATGGTATCATCCAACACCATTCCACCACCCTTCCCCAACCCATTTTCTTCTTCCTGCTGAGCTAAGGTAAGATCTTCACAGTAGGGAAGGATACAGAAGAGGACCCCATGTTGGCTGGGGAATTTTGGCAGTTGTCCAAATAAATTTGTGAGTAGATGTTGTGGTACCCCTTTTTCGCTGGCAGCAGAAAAAAATCCTAAGGATGGCATTAAAGCTTTCCTATTACATGGTTTTAATGCCAGTGGTGGTGTTCAAAAACACATTACTCAGAAAAGCAGACATTTTCTTTTGAAAGAGCCTTTCTTTTTGTTGTCTTTTTTTTGGCCTAGAAACAGAACAAATGCGAACTGTTTGGATGACATTAAGAAAGAGACTTTGAAGGCAGATCACACACGGAGCAAGGGATGACAGGGAAATATTCTTAACCAAGGCCAAGTCAACTGATTAAATTATCCCCTTTAATATTTGCTGAAGGCATGAAGCAGGAGTTTAGAAGTCCCTTGGTAACTATTAGCTCAGCCTGACCTTCTCTACAAGGGCAGACTGTGCTGATCTGAACACTGCTATTTTCATAGGTTCCCCCTTGACATTTAGTCCAGTCGTGTCTGACTCTAGGGCATGGTGCTCATCCCCATCTCCAAGCTGTAGAGCGAGTGTTTGTCTGTAGACAATTTCCATGGGCACGTGGCCAGTGCGACTAGACACAGAACACTGTTACCTTCTCACCATGGTAGTACCTATTTATCTACTTGCATTTACATGCTTTCGAACAGCTAGGTTGGCAGGAGCTGGGACAAGTAACAGGAACTCACTCCATCAGGTGGATTCGATCTTATGACTGCTGGTCTTCTGACCTTTGCAGCACAGAGGCTGCGCCACCACGTCCCAATATTTTTGTAACTTTATGATTTAAAAGTCATCCTTTGAAAGGAGTGAATGCTTTACACCAGCGTGACCCCCCCCCCGCATAAGCGCGACATGCCCCCCATGAGCACGACACTTGCTCATCTAGCAAGCTTCACATGACCAAGTGAGGACTTTTTAGCACCTATAGAGACATATTTATCCTACTTCGGGGGATCATGGGCCTCTCCACTCTTGAGAAGAGCAGTGTAACAACCACACAGTGTAGGCAGACGTAGAAAATTGACTTGGACCTGGAGAATCATGAGTGGATAGGAGTTTTCCCATTCCTTCTTTCTCTGGCCGCACGCCTCTTGCAAAGGGTTTCCAGAGTATGAGAGTGAGCAATCATGCACTGGAAAAGTGCCCCACATCAGGTAAATTCACTTTGTGGAAGTCCTCTATCTGTATTAGCCAAATTACCCCTGGATGGAGAATTTGAATGGGATCCTGATGTAGATCCTTATGAGATTGTCTTGATTTACCCAGAAGATAGACAGGAAATAAGTGTTGTGTATACAAACTTATTAAAGTTCTTATTCCTAAGGAGTTCTGAGTTAGGATCTTTCAGGAGCGAAGTTTCTTATCTCTCTGAAGTTGGAACTGAAGGTTTTCAGTAGCAATAGAAACTTACCCAAACACCCAGCACTGTGTCCCTACCCTTTTGCATTGTGTGTCTGTGAGGTAAGCATAATATTGTCTGGAACAAAAAAGAAGAGAGAGATAGAATCTTTAGTGAAGTAGACAGTTACACGACATTACAAAACGAATTGGGGGTTTCTGTTCAGTTTTATGGTAACGGAACACAAATACTTTAAACAGTGTAAAAACGTATAGGATGACTGCCAACAAAATAAGACAGGCAATCAGAGATGATTAAAAGTGGCAGAGAGACTATCCCAGCCTCTGTCTGCAAGACTAGCAAACTTTTGTAAACTTTTATATTAACTTTTATATTTTATTACACATCAATGATTGAACATTTTAAATTATCTAGTAAAACATGTACAATGAAGAATGAATGAAGGCTGTATATCAGTGGAATATGTTTTGGACTATTAAAATTCAGAATAGTGCAGAATATATGCAGCATAAATTTTTCTTGTTAACAGGCTATTTTAAAGTTATTTCCTGCATTTTGGGGGGAAACCTAGCTCCTGTGAAAACTGACTGTGGAAAGGAAGAAGCTGAGTTTAAGATGTCATTTAAAATGGCTTTTTTCAATATAAGAAATGAAGTCTTTTTCACATTTTATCTGGGAGTAAGCCCTACTGTACAAAATGGGACTTATCTTTGAGTAATGAGCACTGCCTAGAAATAGGTTAACTGAACAGGAAGCCAAACTACATTTAAAAGTTTCAGTGCTAGGCATCAGGCCTCTAATGAGAAGGTAAGGGATTGTTCAACAGAAATAGAATCAGCCTAATATGCTCAGTGTTGTTTCATTACATTAGTTCTAACTGAGCAATTACATTGACAGCTTTGTTCTTTTGACACTTTCCCAAAGTACTGCAAAGCAGAGATGGGAACTACACATCCCATAATACCTAAGCCACTAGAAACACTGGCCATGATGACTGGGGTATTCTGGGAATTGTAGTCTCACGCCCACTCCCATCTGTGTATTAAACCACAGTTATGCAGTAGTATCAGCGAGCACTGGATTCATGTGCTCCCCACCCTCTTCACCTCTTCCCAAAAAGTGGCTATGGTGAAGGGGTTTGTAAGTATCTGCTTCCTTTTTTAAACTAACCACAGCTACCTGTTATGACTTCGAGGATAGGAAATGGAAAAACTCTGGTTAGTTTCAGCTATGTTTTCCCCCTACAAATCCCTACAGGATTAGAGATGGGCATGAACCCTTTTGGGTTTGGCAGTCTGGCACCGTTCATTTCCCAATCAAACAGCTGATCTGCGGTCCGGTGCCCTACTTCCTCCAGTAGGCGTCCACTCAAGGGCACCGAACCACCAGACCAGTAGTCCATGCCCATCTCTAATGAGGTGGCTGCTTTAAACTAACTGAAGTTGCCTCAGTTTGCTCTGGTTAGTTTCAAAGAGGAAGCAGGTGCTTCTAATCTCGTCCTCATGGTTATTGGATCAGAAAGAGCTTCATGCGAGCAAGAGGCTTCCTGCAACTCATAGATGTAACATTAAACTTTGGTCTAGAATGACATCTGAACCAGACCTACGCTTCCACAACTTCAAGGGCTAGGCACATGCTTCCTTTTCTCAATGAGAATAAAAACCATGCAGAAAGAGCCTAGGCTTTTTCAATTGACCTGAAGGGATAAGCTGTGACTGGTTTCCAAGTAATTGTACAGTAATGAACATGACGCAAAGAGATTATTGTTACCTGACAGTGGGAGCGGTGATGATTCCAATGAAGAGGATCCTGCCCCAGCTTAAGGGGTGACTTGCATAGAAGACAAAGATATGTTTCAAGAAAAAGGTGTTCAATTCTGTCAACTGAAAAAAAGAAAAGAAGAATTCAGCTGTACAATGTTTCAGTTGTATTTGCTTTACTTTTCACTTGAATGGTGCTACTGGGTAGACCAAATGCCAGCAGATGTTCTAATCAAAGGACTTAATTATATCAGCAATGTACATAACAATACTTTGGGAATTTTAATTTTGCTTTTGTAAGACCAGCAGATTTTATAGAACCAAACGTTAAGAGCAGCTGTGAGCAGCTCAAAGTCACACAGGCAGTCCAGGACAAGACTGAAACTCGACATCAGATACAAGTCCATTTTTATATCCACTGAACTGAAGTTCAGCACAGCTTATTTATCTGTCCTCAGCTGTGGAATGCCCTCATCAGAGATGCTTGCCTGGAGTCTATTTTGAGGCAATTTAGACTTTAGGCCAAGACTTTTTTCATTTTTCAAGTCTTTTTGACTTGATCAGTTTTATGTCTGCTCATCCCCTTTACAGTGCTTTGTATTTGTTTCATACACTGATGCCTCAATTTACGAACATCCCTACTTACAAAAATTTCGAGTTACGAAAAGTTCTGGCTGCAAAATTTTGCTTTGACTTGCGGCTGGAGCTTCGACCCAAGAACAGAAAAAGGCAGGGGGAAAGGAAGGAAATTCAAACTACTGTACTGGTGGCGAAGAGGCTGCTTCTTTGTAGCTCTTTCGCCCCAATGGTTAGAGCAGGGGTCAGGGAACTTTTTTACTCCTGTGGGGCAGGAGGAGGAAGGAGAGGCGGGGGCAGCTCCGGATTGCTGCCGGGCACAGGAAGCCGCTGCACTCCCTGCCCATCCCTGGTGTGGGTCTACTCATAAGTAAGGCCTGCCATCCACCGGGGAGTAAGCGCCACCAGAGGATGCTTCAGTCTGCCTGGTAAGCTGCTGCTTTTTGCTTTTTAGAAACTTCTGAGTGAGTTTTGCAGGGTGGGTTTCTGCTGAGGGGAGTTATGTTTCCATGCTGTGTTGTTTGTATTTGGGTTGTTGTTTTTTTGCAGCCTTCTGGACCTGCTCTGTTTATTTTTGGTTGTTGTTTTTTAAAGCCCCAGCACCTTCTGATGGCGCTTTCTGTGTGCTTTTTTTGGGTATTTTTTTGAAATGCTGGAACAGGATTAATCCCGTTCACATGCATTTCAATGGGAACTGGTGCTTCAACTTACGAAAATTTCGAGTTACGGCCACCGTTCCAATACGGATTAATTTCGTAAGTTGAGGCACCACTGTATCTGCTGACTTTGCTTCTAATTTCATACAGTTCCTTTAGACTTCATTAACATTTTAAAATATTCTCTTTTACTTCAACGTAGAAACCTGTTGAAAACCAGTCTAGAAATCCTTAAAATAAATGGCCAAAATCCTGTTCTGTAAATTATATCTGCATAAGGGTGACTGGTTAGGTAATTAACGGGTTCCTGCCGCGATCCCAAAGTATCCCCAGCCACCGTTCCAATACGGATTATTCATATGATGTAATCATTTGTATTTCATATGACCTGTGCAAGCCCTGGGACAGAAGCAGGAATTCTTTCATTACCAAAAATCCTCCCTGCCAGTGATGCCATCACCTTACACAGACATAAGTTACAGAAGAGGTTTTGGCCTTATGAACAAATACTGCTACAAAATGAGTTCAACTATCTTGGTGAACAACCTCTGCAGTCTATGGTAGCATGTTGTTTGCCTATGCATGAATAAAACATATATAATTGGCTTTCACTAAATGTAGGCATATGATGAGCTGATCAGGGTTTTTTTTATTTGTTTGCTTCTTTACCTGCCAAATGATCATAAAAAGGTATACTCCTGCCACTCTTTGAAATGAAGACTTGGGATCAAACCAGCGAACATATGTCCAGCTTGCTGGAGTGAACTGCAGTACAGCTCTTTTGATTTTACCCGTGGTGGTATGAATGTCCCTGAAAGCAAACAAGGATGCCAGTCAAACAAAGGAAGTGCTGCACAACTTCACAATACAACATAATTTTATGGTACTACAGTTCTTTGTATACAACACACATGCCCCCTCCTGCAAAAGGCCCTAGGCATGCTGCAGAAAAAGTGTGTTCAGAAGCAGACTTCTGTAACAATTCTAATTAAACAAGCAGTAGTTTGTGCTTTAAAAAGCCCGCACAAAGCAGGCTTTATCCACATACCTGTCTTGCATTTCAGAAGTAACAAAGGAGAACATTGCAAACAACTTAAGAATATTTTCCTATGTTAGCCAAACAAGCACTTTCCAAAAAACACTCAACTTCTAAAATGCTGATCAGACTCCCAACTGGTGTTCGTATTAGGGTTCATATATTGCTAATTGGTGAAGTGAGGAGGGGAGCACTTCAGTCATGTGTCTCATCGTGCGCGCAACTGTGAAACTGAGATGGGCCCCAGTACCTTGTCAGTTAACTGTGGGAAGTTACACAAGCTTCACCAGAACACCAATAGGATTCCAGACACTGCCTGCTTTTGAAGAAAACTATTTGAGAAATCTGGTGTTTGGGGCACCTCAATCAAATGGTATCATTCAATAGCAGTCATTCCAGTTAAGGATATGGGAATAGGAAGCCACGATTGAGGGCACAAAAACAGTGTTAGTGTTTATGGGAATTGGTGTTTCCTCTTTGAGACATAAACACAAGGGGCAACTATTTTGGGCCAATGAATGACATGCCCCAGGATCCCCAGGCATACACAAGGCATTCCATGTATACTTTAGGATTGTTCCAATCTCCCTTTCCAATTCTGCATCCTTCAGCAGCTCTTTCTGAAGGATGGGACAGTAACTAACAGTCACTATAACCATCCGTGTGGCTCAAGGAGGCACAGGGCCTCCAGAAGTAGTAGCAGCTGAGAAGCTTAGAAATATTTATCTTAAACATGCATCCTTGTGTCTGGTAAATGGTAAAAGGATAGCATAGAACATCTCACTTTCTGAGTAGCCCATCACATGCTGGTATCCAAAGTAACTTTTCCCCCCTTCACTGCTAGAGGAAGCTGAACACTAGCATAACTAAGAAGAAAACACTCATTTAGAAGTGACAATAAGTTCCCAGCAAAATAACACCACATGGACAATATAGTTTCATTGTTTTTGCTGAATTGTACTGTTATTTAAATAACTGTATATTTTATGTGTATACAACTGAAAAGGGTTTCAGGAGGGACACTAATATTTTTCTAACTCTATGCTTTTACTTATGGCTTTACATAATTGGTTACAGCACGTAGTTGTGACAAACAAGCAGTAAGAGGGTGCAGCTGGAAAGGGAAATGGGCAACCCATCTGTATACATGGAAATACTTTTCCTTCCATGCTCTGACCTCTTTAGATCTCCGCTACTGACAACAAATGTAACAGGCTTAATAACTGTGACAAACAGCAGTGGGGTTTCTCTCCTCCTCCTTCAGAAACAGTAAGCACAGGCAGTCCATGCAAGGAAGTCAGCTCACATTTAAGTTCCAAATTACACGGCTGACTGTATCTGCCGTGTTCTTGATCCATACTCATAGGGAACATAGGTTTAAGATCCAGTACAGAGACTGCTTCCCCAGAGTGGCAATTAAGGGAACAGCAGAAAATCATTGCACAAAAATGTTATTTCAAAAGATTCAGAATGGAAAGACACAGGCAAAATGGGAAAATTACTACAGGTCACATGCTTGTGAGCCACATTCTGAAAAATGTATACAGCTGAACCATGTATTTGATTAGTGGCACAATTTTATACATTTTTTAGATGCAAGCACTAAATCACCTATTAAATGTGATTTAACTTTTAGTAAAGTGGTAAATCATAGTTTGTTGATAAGAGGGAAGAAAAAAGACCACAAATCATCACGGGCTCTTAGCTGACTTTGGATAATTAACACTGTCATTCATGAACAATGTTATCATCAAAACAGTGAAGCTAAGTTCAAAAAAACTATCGCAATATGCAAACCAATTTAAAAATTATGTAAGACAAGCCTACAGGGTCATATATCTTTTGACTTCCATTTTACATAAGTAAATCCAACATGTGCTTTGAGATTTGGGATAATGCACAGTAAACAAGAGCTTATTTAGCATTTTCCATTTTTACTGGAAATTCAGAAACGCTGGCATTGTTAAATGTAAACAGCTGGAACCGGACAACCTCTGTAATTAACAACCTTTCAAAAAGTACATATTATTTCAGAGTTTTCATACTGCAATGTCAATAATACAATATTTATTAACTTGTATTTAAGACCTACTTGAAACTTGCCCAGTGATAGGTCCTCATCTCCAACCAACGACAAACTACCATGCCCAACCAGATGCCACCCCCGTTACATAGCAGGATGTCCAAAATGACTTGATCCCACCAGCATTCAGCAAAATTAGGCAGCAGATGCATGAAGAACAGCTACAGAATACAGCAGAAAGATTCTAGGTGAGAATTTCATAGATACAAAGGGTTTTTTTAAAACACATGAATGCTATTTTACATCAGACGAGAAAATATTTTTGGCATTACTGATGAATGGGACCAAAAACTAACAGAATAAAATTTCAGCTGGCACTGAACCATGCTATGTACTTTTTTTCACTGGACCATGCTGCATATATTATTATGCTAGCTGTCTGAAGGCGCAGTTATCTGTTCCAAAAAACAGGGGACTTTTGCTAAACTAGATATTTATTGAAGTGCCTACAGCCCATACTAAACAGAATAATCTTGCTACAAATAGTGAGTGTCAATACATGTGCTGTTAAATTTGTCAAGATACTGTGCTTCAACTGCAGAAAGTTTTTATATGCATTTTATTTAGTGTGACATATGAGAAACAACATGGCTGGACCTGGTGACTGTTAAACTCAAAGATTTTTTAAAAAAATTTCCATTAAATTTTGCTCTTGATATTCCATTAAGATTGATTTTAGAAGACTAGCAGCTTTGTATAACTGAATTTACTGCAAGTGCTCTGACGTACACAAATGCTGGAATGAATGAATCCACTGCGATGAAAGCTGTATCGGCTGTGCCTTCCCTATTTCAAGGAAGTTTCCCTTGCCAGGAAAAAACAGAAAAATCCATTTTTAACCTATTCTGATGAACAAATGCTCAAAAGGAAGCATTCTGCAGTAATCTGCAATTGAGATGCAGCCCTCAAGCAAACAGGATTTTAATTTAAGAAACATGTTATTCAGACAGATACCCTGATGTAAAGCAGGGGTGTCCAACCTTTCACCTTCCCTGGGCCACATTAGAAGATGAAAAATTGGTTTGGGCCGCACATACATTTGGTTTGGGCCGCATGGGGGGGCAGCCCTAGCCCTCCTCCACAGCTCCGCTCCAAGCACGCTTACCAGCAGCTGTGATCCCAGACAGCAGAGGCTGCCAGCTTCGACTCCGGCGGCTTTATGGGGCCGGGAGGGGGTCCACCTATTGACGGGGATGGCGCAATGCAGTCACGCAGCCCCCATGTCCCCTCCCCTCCCACTCCTTCCTTCCCTCTCTCCCCCTCTACTGTTGTGACGTGCCCTGGCCACATTCCAGCTGCAAGCGCCGGCAGTGTAACTTGAAACTTTGGAATTTCTTTAAAAATAAAAAATTGCACTGGGCCTCATTACGAGCTGACCTGGGCCGCATGCGGCCCTTGGGCCGCGGGTTGGACAAGCCTGATGTAAAAGCTTACATACAGCTCAACAACAGACACTAATTTTTAGTAAAGTTTACGTTACCAAATAAGATTCCTTGAAAGTGAATTATGTTTGCATCCTAAATTAAATAAACCTTTACTGTTTAGTATACTGTTTGCTGAATTAAATAAACCTTTACTGTTTAGTATACTGACACTGAATTGTCCCTGCAGAGAAAGAACATGTACCACACAGTTCAAGCATGACATGCCATCACACTCATGCATCAGCATGGTTAAGACAGAGGGGCCAAAATCCTCTTCCATAGTTATACTGGCAAAAGTTAAATGGGGTAACTAGCAGCAGGAAATTGGCACTAATTAATGAATCCCACTTTGATTCCTTCTTGTGTGTCAAGCCATCCAGCTGGCATAGAATAAGGAGCAGGCGCTTGTTAATTAATGAGAATTTGCTGCTGTCGATTATGCCATTTCCCTTTCACCAAATATTTAAGAGAATTTTGCTCAGGATCAGACAGCTCTAGGAACCAATGCAGCACATGCAAGGATATAATGATCACAGGAGAGAGAAAGCTGTGTTTTTTCTTCTTCAAAAAACCGAATGCTACTCATTGTCACACAATTTCGCATTTATACAGTTGAACAAGGGGGGGGGGAAAGCAAGAACAGCTGACCCATTTATCTTGCTGGACAAAGCACACTTTCACTGGTCGAACCATGAGAAAACATAACATATCACACACTAAAGAGTGGTTGAGCACATCAAAGGAAAGAGTGCTAACAGTGTTATAGCAAAATCAACAGAGTCCTGTGGCATGTAAAAACTGAAGAGTTTTATCTGGAATCAACTTTTGTGGACTGCAGTCCACTTCTTCATATGCATATTCCCAAAGAAATGGGTGGCAATGCAAATAAACATGCCAGTTGTTAAGATGCCACCCCTAGACTCTGTACATGTTACATGCTAACATGGCTACCCCTATAGTAATAATAACGAATTATGGTCAACACATAGAATTGGGCATACAAGGTGAAATACAAATAATAGCTTAAGCAGTTTATTTTATGATGGATATGCAACACATGGTCAATCAGAAAAATAACTCAATAGTTATTTATGTCTAAGAATCTGTCCTGTACATCTGGCTGTATCCTATCAGTAAATATTTCATTCTCTACTATTAAGATGTTTAGCTCAATCTAATATGAATTGTGCATTATTTTAATTCCTGCTAAGAGTTAAAGGATCTCTCTTATGTAATCTAATGCTTTTTGACCTAAGTATAGACAGTCGCTGCTTCTAAAGATAAAATGGAAAGATTAACCAGCTTTGGCACTGATGTCCAGTAATGGACATCATATTTAAAAAGCATGCTTTGATAAACAGCAAAATCATTTTGGTAGTTTAAAACATTCTGGTAGGAAGAAAATCATTTTGCGTTGAACCATATGATGGTTCATATCATATCAAAAGTTACAGTGGTGCCTCACTTAGCGATGTTAATCCGTTCCGGAAAAAACATCGCTAAGTGATTTAATCGCTAAGCGATTTTAAAAAGCCCATAGGAACATATTAAAACGCAATTAATACGTTCCTATGGGCTAAAAACTTACCTTAAAGCGAAATTCCTCCATAGCAGTGGCCATTTTGGGTGCCTCTACAGCGAGGCAAAACAGCGGTGGCCATTTTGTTTTTGCGGCGGCCATTTTGGAACCACCGATCAGCTGTTTTAAAAAGTTCCCTTTGCCATGATCGCTTCCCCGCGATCATCGCAAAGCGAATTTTAGCCATAGAGGACATCGCTAAGTGATCGCTCCAGCGATGGCCAAAACTCCATCGCAAAGCAATTGCATCCCTCAACGGAGCGATCGCTAAGCGAGGCACCACTGTATTTTAAAAATGTGGCCTGGCTGTATCACTTGCCTGCATTCCTTAAATGTTTAGACTAGAAATTTACATGGTTCTAGATTGCACAGGAAATTTCACCAGTAAAAGCAGACAAGAGGAAAACCCCAATGTTCCCTATAGATTACATTTTGTCATTGTTTTTCATAAAAAGTACCCATGTAAGCATCAAAAGACACTAGAAACTGAAGAGCATCCACTTAGAATCCACATATATGAGAACACAGTTATGGACGCATACCTTAACATGCTGGGGGAGTCTGGCTATGTGAAAGTGGCTGAGTGCCATACTGTCAGGAGGGTATACTTGCTAAAAGTCTTGACCTCTAGCAGGGTCATTCAAAGCAGAATGATCAAAGCTAATATATGAGACTAAGATATATCCACCTCTAAATAAGCTAAAGATAGCATCAGCAGGAGAGAATTCACAATTCCAGTGATGATGGGAGTAGACAGATTCTTGATGGATAAATACTGGGCAGTAGCAATAGTGGAATGTGACACTGATGGAAGATTCTTTTTTTATAAACAATGGCAGAAATACTCAAGCTAACTCCCTGTCAGTACTGCACAGAAGGAGACTTCTGAATATCTATACTTCTGAACGGACATGTATAGACTTGAAGTATAAAGCAAGTATTATACAAGTCTTGTTTCCCTGGGAGGTCTAACTTTGAAGTACATACTTAATAACACATATGACAAAAGTAATAAGAACTGCATTACTGGCTTTCATATAAAGAAAATATTATCTGTGCAGACCTTATGATCCACATTTGCATGATACATATCCAAGCAAACAAGTACATGAATATACATGTTTTGAACACCCACATAAACCTGATCTGTAAACATTTGTGTGCAGGATGAAAACATCAGACAGCATTCAGCATTTGTTTCAAGTTCAAGAAACACAGTTTGAATGCCAAATAGCTAGTGTAAGCCACATCAGTGACTGAATGAGATATATCCCAGATGAAAGATACACTTCCTTCCTGAAACAATGGTGCTGTGTAAGGTTTGCCTTTGGCTTTAGCTGGAGTACAACTGTCAGCGCATTTTTGGTGCACTTGAAGGCTCAAACAATATTAGCTGCCCTGTGCATCAACATTTCTTTACAGCAAACACACAACCTACCTCTGTTAATTCCCAGGTGATGCTAATAGTCCAACACAGCCCATAGCTGCGTATCAACAAAGCCTTCATTGCCCAGCCCCAGAAATGTCCAAAAGCAAATATGTCAAAATGGCTGAGAATCCGCTCCCAAGTGATCACGTGGCAATTCACAGCATACTCCTGTTGATTTGTAGGAAGGGGTAAGAGAGAGAAAAGGAGATGGGAAGGGAGTGAGGAGAGAAAGAAAAAGAGATTTCAATGGATCTGTTCTAACAGGAACTATAACTGGATTCAGCTTCCAAGTGTCAGCCTTCTTGCTCCAGCTCCTTGACCATTTTGTTTAGCTCTTCAGTATCTTACTTGCATGAAAAATGTTCTGTATCCAGAGTCACTGTACCTGCCAATATTATCTTTCTATAGTTAGCTTTATTAGAATAACATCATATAATATTTGATCTTACTTTCAGAGACAATATGAGAATTCTGAATTATTTCCTGTCCCTTTCCAAAAGGTCTAGGCATTCTGTTCTGTTTCTAAAGGGGAGAGATGGTAGCACTAGGCTAAAAGTGCCAAAGCACTCAATGCAGCACCATCAATACACACCATGATGTCTGCTTCTCTTGTTGCATATCGGAGATTAGGGTCCAGCCAGTACATGACCGATTTCACTTGTTCAAAGTTCAGGAAGAGCACGAATACGAGGAAGAGAAAATACAGAACACTCAATCCTGTAGCAAAACAAATTCAGATGGAATAGTTGAATAATTATATTTTTTTGGGACAGATATCTGAAAGTCTGTATTAAAAGCATATCCAAAATCAACACATATCGATCATATATTGCATGTATTTCAATTACAATGGATCAAGAAACAAAAACAACATAGCAATGCTTGTAATTTCTAAAACCTTTGAGGTCATTCTACCCTGCATGCCTTCTCTCATGGCTACATGCCTCCCTCCCCCTCACCACAGGGAGAATTAAACAAAAGCAATAGCAGTTGCAAACATTTTAGTCTGGGGGCCATTTTTAAATACTACCAGAGCTTGGAGAGCCACGTATCCTCCCAAAACCTGCCTGCAACAAAAAAGTTTTGCCCCAGAAGCACAAAGTATGTCCCTCAGAACTCTATGACTTGGCATAAACCTAATAATTACAAACATTTTAGTCTGGGGGCCATTTTTAAACACTACCAGAGCTTGGAGAGCCATGTATCCTCCCAAAACCTTCCTGCAACAAATTTTTTTGCCCCAGAAGCACAAAGCATGTCCCTCAGAACTCTTTGTGGGATATGACTTGACATAAACCTTATAATTACTCAGGTACAGTGGTGCCTTACTTTACGATTGCCCCGCATTATGACAAAACCACGTAACGACAATCTTTTTGCGATCGCAAAACGATGATCTGAATGGGGGAATTTCGCTTTGCGATGATCAGTTCCCTGCTTCGGGAACCGATTCTTCGCAAAACGACGTTTTTTGAACAGCTGATTGGCGGTTTCAAAATGGCCACCAGGTGATTAAAATGGCTCCCCGCTGTGTTTAGGGACGGATTCCTCACTATACAGGCAGAGAAAATGGCCGCTGTATGAAGGATCTTCGCTGGATGGTGAGTTTTTACCCCACTGGAACGCAGTGAACAGGGTTCAATGCGTTTCCATGGGGTTTTTATTTTCGCTTTACGATGTTTTTGCTTAATGGCGATTTTCCTGGAACGGATTATCGTCGTTAAAGCGAGGCACCACTGTATCTTGTTTAGGCTCGTTAAGCGAGGCACCACTGTATCTAGTTAAGGTTTTAAGAGGTCTTTTAAAGAAACAGGTCACTTTCTAGTTTAAAAAGAGAGAGAGTCTAAACAAGCATAAGGATTTGTTTTTGTTTTTTTGCAAACTGCACGCCATGCAGGGCTTGTAGGAGACACAACCTTCAATTTGGGGGCAATGTTTTGAAATTCACAGAGGTCAGGGGATACATGGGGGCATCCTGGGGGCACTGGGGGCTACATATTGCCCAAGGACTGAAAGTGGTCCACACTTTGCTCGTCTCTTTCATAGGATCATGAGCTTACCACCCACATTATCTGAATGGTTGATCAATGCACTTTAACACATGCGGTAGTTCTGGTAAGTTGTTACCCCAATCTAATGCTACCACTACAAAGGCAAGTTACAGTCACAAGGTCACACTAAATGCAAGCATTTGGAAGAAAAATTCTAAAGCAGTAGTCAAGAGGTCTAATCCATCATTCAGGAAGCAGATGTGACTTTGAATAGATTTTTGAAGGGTATCCAAACGCTTCATGATGGAAACTCAGCTGTAATCTTAACAAGCAGAATGTCTGCAGCTGCTTCAAGTGCCTACAGTTTATAATTAAACAGGGCATCCTTTAGATTTTTTTTAAAAATACCTTGGTCCCTCAGCAGCCCAAAGTATCTCTGGAACTGCAGGAACTTTCCCCCTGTCTTTCAATAGACTAAATCTCAAACATATTTGCAGAGAGTTAACTGAAAAGGTGGAGGGGAAAAAAGCTTGCTGTGCCATCACTTCACCCCACCTTTGGACATGTGTAGTGAGCGAAGAATATTCAACTCTTGTTCCCTCTCGGTTAATTTATACCAAATGCCTCCTTTCACAAGACCACAGGGCTAGTAGGGGTGTAGTCTAGGCTAAGATTGAATTTATTAAGTTTAGAGAAGCCCTGTGCTATAACAGTGACATTTTAAAACAGATACAGTTTCCTATCAGTCGAAAATCTAGCTCTTAGAGCCATCTAAGGAGGTTCATTAATGAGTTCCCAATAGAAATCTGTCAGGCTCTCTCTTTGTCTCTCTGTGTGGTTTTCATCATAAACTGAAAATATATTTATCACAGTGGGTGTTTCTACTGTATGAACTTGACAATTTTAATTTTATTTACTTTCCTATTTAAAATAATGTTATGGCACCTATATCAGTGGTTCTTAACCTTTGTTACTCGGATGCTTTTGAACTGCAACTCCCAGAAACCCCAGTCAGGACAGCTGGTGGTGAAGGCTTCTGGGAGTTGCAGTCCAAAACTCCTGAGTAACCCAAGGTTAAGAACCAGTGACCTATATGATATAGAAATCCTTACAAGTTAATTCATAAAGAAAAAAACCCTACAGTATCAGAATAACATTTTGTCTATAATAAAATGGTTACTGGTCACCTACAAAGAGTAAAATCATGGGGCATGTATGTTTTCAAAGAAGCCTCACCGCTTTACTAATTAGGCCTAAGTGTTGAACTTAGTCCAAACAATAAAATAACATGCAACATATTTTACTCCTGCTATTGTTAGTTGTGGTTTTTGCTAATCAGCTGTATTTAATATCCTTTATTATTATTTTTAGAAATTGTTTCTTTTTGTTTTAATTTTTATCAATTATATTGTATAGCATTACAATTATGCTAAATGATAATCTGGGAAGTTTTGAAGGCAAAAAATAAACCAAGACACTAATTAATTTTCTTAACCAAAAATTCCAAGGAAAAATTACCATATTCCCAAACAATGACATTAGGGTGGAATTTAGCAATGTGTCTGACTTCTCTAGACAAGCAAAAACTTTGATCATACAACTTGGTAATAGAGGATATCCGGGGAGAATTTTGTAGCAACCTATACATAAGGCTGAATAGTGGTACTGAGTACTTAAACTAATATCTCAAAACGAAAATGGTTCTTTTTATTTTCAGTGAGTATAATGGGAAAATCCAAAAAGAAATATTGAGACAGCAGATCTTCTATCAGAGATTTGTAGTTCTAAGGAAAGCCCCCTTGTCCTCAAATAGGCTCCAGCCAAAGAGAAATGCTACTCTACAGTAGCTTTAAGACACATAGCCCATATAATATCTGATGTGGATATAATTTTGCAGACTACGGGATAATATTCACTAGCAGTTTCTGATGACATTGCCACCTTAGTCTGTTTTAGCATGTACAGTGGTGCCTCGCTAGACAGTTACCCTGCATGACAGTTTTTTCGCTAGACATTGACTTTTTGCGATTTGCAAAACACTGATTCCTATGGGGGAATTTCGCTGGATAATGTTTGGTCCCTGCTTCGCAAACCAATTTTCGCTAGACAACTATTTTGACAGCTCCCTCCGCGCTCGCAAAACGTGTGTTTTCGGGACCTAAGCTTCGTAAGACAGCGATTTAAACAGCTGATCGGCGGTTCGCAAAGCGGCTTTTCTATGGCCAGTCTTCACTAGACAACGACGATTCTTCCCCATTGGAATGCATTAAACAGGTTTCAATGCATTCCAATAGGGAAATTGCTTTTCGCTAGACAATGATTTCGCTAAACAGCGATTTCAGTGGAACGGATTATCATCTAGCAAGGCACCACTGTATAGCCAAAGTAAAAGCTAAAGAGCTGTGGCATTTTAAACATTGTCTGATTTATTTCAGTCTGAGCTTTAGTGGATCAAGAGAATCTTGATCCACGAAAAGTTACATAGAAATAAATTGGCTGGTCTTCAAGGTGCCAAAACCCTTTTCTTTCTATTTATGTTATATATAAACATTGTAACATCAGTTCTAATTGTATTAAACTTTGAGGATTTATCAATTTAGTAAACAAAAAGAGATATGTACTGAAGAATATAATTACAATATAATTGCAATATAACATATTTAATTTATATCACAGAATGTTCCATGTTCTCCTGTCAGTAGGGATAGCTATCAGGATGGTTAAACTAAAAATATATGAAGATAAAGGCAATAAAGGCTTCTGGCTAAGGACATTGCAGAAAGTGACTGGATCCAGAGTTCAGCTTGAAAAGAGACTTGGGAAATACCTGGGGTTTATTCTCTACAAATACTGGCCACGCAAAGTCCTAACAAAGACATGAATTGAATTTCTGCATGTTAGCTCCCGTACTGAATCTTGCCTGTGTTTTCTGCTTACAAAGGTCAGGTTATTTTAATTATTATTGCATATAATTAATTGTTTCAATATGGTTATGATGTATGCTTTTTGAAATATTCTGGCAATTGTCATGAAACCTGTTCTGAAGGGATTAACCTTGAAACCCTTTACATTAACATCTGCTGATAATCACCTCATGGCCTTGATATAAGGCCACCTGCAGCTGCCAGGCTGTCTGGTGGAAGTTACAACAACAAAGCTATTAGCAATACTGGAGGCACTACATGTTGTGCTTTCTCCTTCAAGCCTCAGACACTGGAAGACTGTAATGTGCTGATGACTGTAAAGTTCTTTTATTCAATAGAAGCTTGGTGGTGAGTATACTTAAGCCTATGTCGGGCCTGATATCTGAGCATGTCTTTCTTTACACAGCAATATTTCACTGTTTTATTATAGAGTACTGAAGAAGGTAAAATGCTAAAATACATTTGGCAAGTCTTATTTCCAAGTCATGATTGATCAATACATATTTGGTTTTAAGATCTATCTTTTAAGTTTTCCCCCTAAGTGGCATAGGTTTTTTCAAAAATATATGATTGATTGAAAATGTTTACACCCGCCTTTCTCCTCAAGAAGACCCAATGTGGCTTATAATATTAAACAATATAAAAACTGGAAGGGGAAGAGGGAAAAAAATCAGCCCCTTTCAGGCAGGCAGTTGTTGAGAAAAAGCTTGCCTGAAGAGAAACGTTCTTGCCTTCCTGCAGAAGGACAACAAAGAGGCAATAATTACAGAAGTGATTAAATAAACAGAAGTATGTTTGAAAGAGAAAATATGTGATGCCCCAGAATCGTGACTGTATCATTAAAAAGACTTACCAAAAACCATGCGCCAGATTGCAGGGTGTGGGCGAGTGAAAGGACCTGATGAGAGAAATGCTTGTTAGATGAAAAATTGCTAATAGATAAGAAAATATTGCAATAGTGGATCCAAACATAATCTGACTGAAACACAATTGTGCCAGCAACAATCAATTGTTGAAATGAACAGCTTTACAAAGTAGTAAAGGTTCTTATATAAACTACTAAAAAAAGTCTAGGATTTGAAAATCAACAGAATCTCATAAAATTTCATGAAAGAACTGTTCAAATTACTATGCTACTTAAGACTTGGTATAATGCTAAGGGATAGTCATAACTGCAATCATGATATAAAGATTTGCGTCTTTATCATCATGCAAGCAGGGGTCCATAGGGAGATGAGTAAGGCCATGATCCCTGTTTGGTGGGGACAGTAGAGGTGACGTTTAACTGGCAATGAATAACTTTTTATCACATTTTCCTCTCAAGTTTAAGACTTACAGAGGTTTACAAAGTACAACTAAAAATGTTAAAACATAATTAAACACAATGGCCAGAATCCTATCACATATGTCTGCAGGCATAAGCCAAAAGACATAAATTGCGGCAGCAAACTGCTGCTCATTAAGAGGTTTATGCTGTTACTCATCACACTTCAAGCTACGTAATTGGCGTGCAATGAAGGATACAAACCTCTACTTCTTAACTGATAGCAATTTGTTGCAGTAATTTACACCATTTCACTTGCATCAGTGTATGTAAGTAATAGGATTCTGGTCGTGTACACATTAATGAACTGGATCTTAAAATCACTTCCATAAAATAAAAAAAAGCACAGCATTTGCCCTCCCATTAAAGATCCTACCCTCAATGGCCAGTCAGCTATCCAAAGACTGCTTGAGCAACAAATCTTTCTTTGCCTTCTAGTGAAAGGCAACAGAGAAGGGACTAGCCTGGCCTCCCTGCGAAGGGTATTCCATTAGATGGGAACCTCCACAATCAAAAGCCCCTACTAAAACAGAACAGGAGCGAAAGCACACAAGTAGAAACTATGAGCTTACCAGTGAAGTATCCATTACTATGATGAGCAGAGTCCATTGCCTATTTATGCACATGCGAGTGAAACTGCATTAAGTAGCAGCAATGAAGAGTTGCTCATTAACAACATGCCAGGTATATTCCATGCCTGTTTCACAACCGGAAACGCAACTAGGGCCTTAGTAATCAACAGCAATTTGCTGCCACAACTTATCCAATTTCACCTCAGGATTCGTAAATCACCAACAGGATTCTGCCCACTGTGTGTTTGTATGGGAGGTACATAACTGGGAAAATGCTATATGCATGTCTGTGCACATGGATGGACTCTGTGATATACTGTACACAATTCTTCAGCAATCTTTTTCAATAGATATCATGATTCTCAATGTTTGGAGACATAAACAAATTTTACTGGATCTTACTTTTCCACACAAGAATCCATAACGGCAGTCACTTATATATCTGTCCCATTAACTCCGATTTCTGATATAGTGGTCAGATATTATCCCAAACTTGACTAAAGCCTGCTTATGGTATCCCATGGAGCTCAGTGGAAGATAACAAGAACTTGGCCCACTTCAACACAGTTTTGCTCCAGTAATTCCATTTCTTTGTGTGATGGGAAGATAACAGAAATCCCTGGCTAACTGGAAGATGTCTTTTAGTACACTAAGTTTTGTTTAGGGTCCTATGAAATCTAGTTCTAAAAGAAATGCGGGCAACAGATTAAAAACAATTGCTGAGAGCTAATTAAGGTCAATTCAAAGCAAATTGTTCTCCTATCACCTCTACCAGGAGATGTGCAAACAAAGGTCTTTTGTTATGTCCAGTCATAACATATGCTACATAACAACTAACAATCAAAATACACAGGGAGTAAGGCCCATTGAACCTAGTAGGACTTACTCCTGAATAAACAAACATACACCCATTCTGTAAAAGACATATTTCCCCAATGCATCTATGTTTCTTTGTTTCATTCTTGAGAGTTACTTTCAGTTCACTTTGAAACGGTTTCTTTTTCTGTTATATATTTTACGAACATGTTATACAGATAGCAAAGGACTATGCAATGCACACTACTGGGTGAAACATTTGAGAGCTGGAGAGGTCACCTAAAACTTCTCATAAGTCAGACATTAGATACTGGATAGCACTATCAAGTGCCAGGCACACAGGCTGAATATGAGTGGAAAATCTTTCGTCTTGGGTACAACAAATGAAATCAATACCTTTTAGAGATACTACTAAGATCAAATACAAATCCAGATTATATGGCTCAAAGCAGCTTAATTCAAGGTATCTGAGCTTTCCTAACTCACAACACCCTGGGTTGCTGAAGGCATTCATCCGCTTAGCTTCACAGTCTTTCCATTAAGCATTATTTATGTCTGCATTTACCCGATGCCTGGCTTCATAATGTATCATTCAGTGCCTGCCCTGTAAAGAAGCACCACGGTGCAAATCGTAAGTATTAGTGCAGGGCTGAAGATGCTACTGAATAACCAGCAGTTTGGATGATTGCTTTAACACGGATGTCGTCAACGACCAGTCCGCGGCCCATTGCCGGTCCCTGGCTTGAGCCCGACTGGGCTGCCAAGACAGACCTCCCCCCGACACCCCCCCCGCACACACTCCCCTTCCCACAGCTGCTTTGCACGCGCATGCCGGCGCTGGCGTAAGTCCTCTCTCACCCCTTCCCACAAGCCCCTGCGGGCGCAAAGCAGCTGTGGGGAGAGGAGGTTGTGCATGGGGGGCGGGGAGAGGTCTGTCTTGCCGGACCAGCCCGGCGGCGGCGACCGGGGTTGGCAAGAGCTGGGAGGGAGAGCAAGGCCCGGGTGCTCTCCTCCCAGCAGCAGCGGCGGCGATGGAGGTGGGGTGGGGTTGGCAAGAACCGGGAGGGAGAGGACGGCCCAGGTGCTCCGGGTGCTCTCCTCCCGGCAGCAGCGGCAGCGACGGGAGTGGGGGGTTGTCAAAAGCCAGGTAAAATAAAATAAAAATAAAAATAGACTCGTAGGCTTCCGCCGTCGCCGGCGGCACACACTCCCTCACCCCTTCAAGCATGCGCCCGCGCGCAGGAGTGGGGTGGGCGTGCGGGTGTGCAGGCACTCCTGTGCATGCGTGAAGCAGTGAGGGGACACGTGTGCGCCTATGGCGCGCGCACTCCCCAACCACTGTGCACGTGCATCGACGAGGACAAGCGCGAAGGGCCGCCCCACCTCCCTCAGAGACTCCCCTGGTCCGCACTAGTAAAAATGTTGGGGAACACTGCTTTAACACATCTCTGAAGCTCACAGCAACAACTTCACACGATGACACATTTCACTGGCTGCTACTCTTTTGTCCTGTAACTTTGCTACCAAGGCCAAGAACCAGGGAAGTTCTGAGAATCATAGCAAGGGACAGAGCCAATTTCAGGGGAGTTGGATCAAGAGCCCACATCAGCTGCCACAGTTTTCTGTACAAATATCATCCAAAGTTGTATGCCAAGCATCTTTATCAGCATGCTAAAAACTGAACCATTTTAGTAAATGTATATGCAGTACTTTGTTTGCACCTGCTTTCTCTGGACAAGTGCCAATAAGCCATCTGTTGCCAATGATAATGGCCACATATACCACCCGTTCCCATACCAGACACAATGAGTTGACTCTAAAAGTCCCAGTAGAAGGGGAGGACACAAGGGGAAAAAGTGAACAATGCGATTTGGTTAGCCAGGGTCCCTTCTACCCAGGGCTGAATGCTAAAAGAGATAACAGATGCCTTTGGACACATCACAAGGCAGGATTCTCTGGAAAAGATACTAATGCTGGGAAAAAGTGGAAGGTAGAAGAAAAGAGGAAGACCAAATATGTGGTGGACTGATTTCCTAAAGGAAGCCACAAGCTTGAGTCTTCAAATGATGAGGGGATAGGAAACTTCCTCCCCACCCCATGTAGAAATAAGCGAGCCTAAAGGTCCCCAATTGTAAAACAAATCAAATAAATTGAAAAGACCAATCTTGTTTATCTTAAAAGAGAATGGTGGTATGTGTTGCACTTATTCACATCTTTGCATCACAATTTCATTAGTTCCAAAAACAGCCCTTCAAAATATTTTGGCACAGGGAACTACAGACATATCTCAGCTATTCTTGCTTTTGTCCTCTCTCAGCAACCATAGTACAGATCATGTGCTTATCTCCTGTGATCCTCTTGCATCAGGTAATTTTACATGGGGGAAGTTTTCATTGAAATTTGTATATAACATATACTTAAAATTCTGTTCTAAAAACCCAGGATCTACAGGATACCCTCTTGTGCTCATTATCATTCACAAAGTGACAATAAGCAAGGGAAAATTCCAGAAGCTAACTCCATTTTTCATCAGTTAACCACTTTTCACCCAAACACAAAGCAGGGCTGTTTTTCTACAAGTGTGAATGGTGGTGAGCACAAGAGGGCATCCTGCAGACCATATTGACTGTTGTCACTGGTGTTATCAATATTCAGGTTGTTCTTTGCTATGTAAAGTTTGGCATCCTTTTTCCTTACAGGCACTATGTTGGGCCATTTCTTGGTGTTTTGAATAATGGATACAGAAACACAATATGTAACCTCTAACTTCTTTTAGTTAACTACCCTACTGTCTTTTTGACCGTCTTCTGCCTTACTATGCATTTTCTTAATAATACTCAATGAGATTCAATTTCTTTGGAAAACAGGTAAAATAAAAGAAGCATACAAATACTTGTGGAACACACACCAACACATGTAGAGTTACTTACCATTTGGAAAAGCTAGAACACTGATGATTAGAAAGAAGAAAATGACAGAGAGGATGCCCTTCCAAATATTATCTTCTGGGATTGAATCATTCCTAAAAGCACAAAAATAGTAATTAAAATCACAAAAAATAAAAATAAAACATTGTTTCCTCTCCACTATTAAAGGCCTAATTTGGCATTTTTCAAAGCATACCAGCTTTATATATATATTTCTGATTCAGTTTGCATGCCACCAAAATCTGCAAATTTATACAGTAGTTCCTTGCAATTTAGGTATCATAATATTAGAGTACTCAAGGATGTGCATTGTTACTAGATGGAAGAATTACTTAACCACCCACTCTGAGATACTAAGAGGTATTTACATAATGCAATCTATCTGTTAGCAGCCAATTAGTAAACATCTCTTGTAGAAAACTGTCTTCTACTACCTCACTTTTTCCAGACAAAAGGAAACTGCACCACTGTGCCTACTGAACAGGGTCACAAAGGGCACAGACTGTAAGTACAAAGCTATAGCTCTTATGTTGGTCTTAGATAAGTGAATGCTTTCTCTTTGTCTCACTTGGAAACAGTTAAGGCTAAGAAGAAGAGAACACAAGGACAGTATTTCAGAGCCAGAAAGGTATCTGAAGGGTAACCATCCATTCTTTAATATTGCATTCTACTGGATATTCTTTTTAAAATTTATTTTTAAATTATATTTATTGACTCTAAAATACACAAAAAATACAAATCTAACAAATAAAAAACCTTAATACATACATACACAAGTGCCCCCTCCTGTGGACATTCTATAGCATTGGTGACACAGAAAGATGGTATAAGTGGTACAGATATATGGAGTTTGTGGCACTCACAAACAGGACAAATAATGCTTCACATAGGGACTGAAAATAATTTTTTTAATACTGTAATAAGATTCTTGATGGAATTATTCATTTTGCACTTCCCAAGATTCTTGTGAGACAACCATAATTATGCACACATTTATGAGGGTTGTTCTGCGACTGAAGGAATAACATATGTATAAAATGATGTGTACCTTTTAACCATATGAACAGCTAAGGGGCTACACAACTGAAAACTTCAATGGCCTGAATCTGATAGTCCCTGCTGGTGCAGATCCATTACATCAATTTGACTTATGTAAGTGCTTAGCAACTGATTCAATTGGCCTACTCAGGTTTGGACTGACTACCCACTGAATCTAGGACATGTAACATTTAGTCAAAATGCACACAAAGTTGATTGTAATTATGTGTTGCCAAAACTTCCAATTTATGGCGACCTTTAGAGGGTTTCCTAAACATAAAGCACTCATAAACTTTTCTAATCCCTCCTTCTGGTGGTGCTCTGTGACTGTGCAGCTTGCCCAGGGCCACACCAGAGCCAGCATACATAAACTGACTAGTCAGATGTGTTCCAGGAGATTTTGCCCAGGGAGTCAAACTCCTAGCACTTGACTCTGCACCCAGGAGCTCCGAGCCACTGAGCTACACCAGTTTACCACCCCTCACCAACGTTAGGATAATTAAGTAGGGAAACTGTGTACACATTTCCATGGAGAAAGAAAACAAAATGTCATAACCTAATAGAAAAAAAGAAGAGTGGGGTGGGATTCGGAGAAATGCAAAGCTGAGACTGATAGTTTTTCACACAAAGCTAAAGGACCCAAATACAGTTTCAGTACAAAAACCCACCACCAGACACAGTGCTTGAAGTACAGTATACTGTATATTCTGGATGATACATGGAACACAAATTGGCCACCAATGCAGAAGGTCATGATCATCCCAACATATGGCACTCAGCAGTGTATTGTCTCCTATTTTTCTAGGGAATACAGCAGTGTACCTCATCTTATCGTAGCTCTGCATTTAATCAATACTCAACATGAAAGATTTTTTAAAAAACAATCCAAAAAGCAGACTCCCTTTATGACCTCCCATTCTTATTTAGTCAGGGAGAACTGAACTCGAAATACACCTGTAAATGTCAATGTATCTGACAGCGCATCAGGAACCACAAGTGGGTCACTGCGTAATCTAAAATGGGTCATCCCAGTGGGCTTACTTTGCTTCTTGCTGCTGCTACTATTTAGAAATAATTCTTCATTTAAGGAAGGGAATGGTTAGAAAAACAAGAATCATGATGGAAGAGGAAAAGGAGAAAGAGAAGTCATATACAACAGGAGAAACAAATCTCTCTTTAACTTTTATTTTTAAACTGAAAAAAAAAAGTGCCCATACACTGATTATGCCACAACAGATGAGGGAATCTGCATGAGTGGTGGGCAAATTGTAGCCCTCCACATGTTCCTGGATAACGTCCACCATCCCTCACTATTGGTTATGCTGGCTAGGGCAGAAGGGAGTACTATCTGACTTCTGGAAAATGGCACTCCCCTCACCAACAGCTCTTGTCAGTAGGTTTGATGGATCCAAACATAAATTTTGTGCAGTGCAGAATAATGAATGCAGTTAGTAGGGTGAGGGTAGCCCCGCCTTCCTCTCTCATTGCTTTGTTTTCATAGGCAACAATAAATCTGAAGGGGAGGAGTAAGATTTTCCAGTAGTTCTTGAAGGCTTTCATGGCCAGGATCCGATGATTGTTGTAGGTTTTTCAGGCTGCTTCACCAAACAGCCTGAAAAACCTACAACAACCATTTTCCAGTAGTCTTGTTTGAATGAAGAGCCTACATTCCAGCATTAACCCTTCCCTCTTCAGGTTCCTCACTGCTCACATGAACAGGTTAGCCTTTCTTTGTTAAGGGGTTAGCCTTTCTTTGTTAACCATGTTGATGATTCTGCATTACAGAACAAAAGAACAGGGATTAACTTGAACTACATATAGTTCATATAGATGTAGATCCTTAGAATCTATGTGATTCAAGTTAATTCCTGGATTCAACATTCTCAATAACAATGATATATTAGATAAGACACTTCTAGCCTTCATTCTCCAATATTAAAGGAAAATAAATATGATGTGACAAATACTTTCTATTTAGTATAGAATATTTTATAAAATCATAAGGAGTAGGAAGGCATCCCAAGAATCATCTAATTCAATCCCTGCCAATGCAAAATTCCTTAGATAGAGCAGTGTGACAATGAAACCAATTATCTCAGAAGATGATGAGCACTCCTACACTGGAGGTATTAAGGACAAAGTTAGAGAGCCATCTGACAGATATACTTTAATTTGGATTCCTGCACTGAGTAGGGGGTTGGTCTCCTTCCAACTCTATTATTCTACGACCCTAACAGATGGGCCGTCCAACATCTGTTTGAGAACCTCCAAGGAAAGAGATCTCAGTCTTCCAAAGTAGTCAATTCCACCACTGAACAGCTCTTGCCATCAGGATATTCCTCCTAATATTTAGTCAGAATCTACCTTCCTGTAATTTCAATCCATTTGTTTGGATCCTATCTTAGAGTGACAGACAATCTTGCTCCATCTTCCATGTGACAGCCCTTTAATTACTTGTAGATTGCTATCTCTTCACGTCACAGCATTCTCTTTTCCAGACTAAATACAGGTAACTCCCTCAACAAATTATCATAAGTCTTAGCTTCCAGACCCTCTCTCACCTTGGTTCCTCTCCTCTGGATGTACTACAGATTGCTCATATCTTTCTTAGTGGTGTCCAGAGGTGGACACAATATTTCAAGTGTGTTTTGACCAAAGTAGAACACTGTGACAATATCTTACTAGTAAATAGATTTTATTGATTTACATATCTGTGAAGATTCTCAGTCAGCCAGGTGAGGTAATCTGGAAGTTGAGTCATGGCAACTAGACTTTTTATTAGGTTGTAACATTTGGCTACTCATCCAAATAGCTTCTTCGGTCTGAGGAGAGTCGGTAGGAGACCCCTGATATATTCTCCATATTGGTTTCACTTCCCTTTGGTCTGACAATGGGTGGAGAAGGACTACAGAAGTGGGATTTTCACTCTGACCCCAGTCCTTTGTCCATCCAACAAGCCTATTCAGACCAATGGGAAGTGAAATCAACGTGAAGAATATATCAGGGGTCTCTTACCAACTCTCCTCAGAAAGGAGAAGCTGTTTGGATGACTAGCAAAAAGTTTCCACTGAATAAGAAGTCCAGTTGCCAAGACTCAACTTCCAGATATTCATTTACATATTTAACATCTGTTAGGAAGAAAACGAACTGCCATGATTTCTCCAGTAAACTACTTTCTCTACCACATATGGCCAACATTTGTGCAGAAATTAGTATAACTATTGTTTAAATTTCTGCACAATTAATTAATACATGGCTTTTTTCCTGCATTACATATAGTATAAACAGTGACTGTGATTATAATTACCCATACTTACATATTGAGAGGAAAACTGTAATGTACAAGTGATATGCTACTATATATAATCTGATTTCTGAAAATTACAACCTCAAGATACAGTACAAGTAATTGTATTCATTAAGCCACACTGTACCCACAGCTCTTGAACAATAGGCACAGAATAAATGGCAACTATATTTGCATGACAGTGTCAGACTCCATTTTTTTCAGGAGCGATGTTCCAAACACCTACCAACTAATGCTATCGGGTACTTTAACAAAACAAAACTCATTTTTCCATGATTGTCTTTATGAACCCCAGAGAGACGTTATTGTGAGCAGACAGACTTTGACATTCCGGCATGGGAAGAATTTCAGAAGCCTCTTTTATCGTTAAACATTTTATCTGAGCAGCTAACATAAAATACATATTGAACTACCAAGTCCAAGCCAGTTCTGTATAAAACGAATCATCATCTGTGAAAGAAATCCTAGCTCAGAGGCCTCTTTAACACTCTTCTCCATGTCTAGTTTTATGTTCTCTTCAGCCCTTTCATCCTCCCTGCAAACATCCCCATTCATTTCATCACTCCTTATCTTTCCCACAACCACCCTTCTGACTTCATTCCCTCTGTCTAGCCTACTGGAGAAAACAGAGCTTGTCATTCTTTTCATCTGGAGTGGGAATGGGTGTGTCTGCTTGTGCCAAGAATCAAGGATTCAAATTTTAACCATTTATTGCAAGGAAACCAGGGCCTTTGGATACAACACACACTCTAGAGACAGCTACACACATGAAACCATACAAATCCAGGGGTGTTTGTTACAAGTACTGTGCTCTTAAAAGGGCAGGCACGCCTCTGAGAGCAAGTCTCACCAAGTTTGTGGGCCTTAAATCTGAGTCAACAAGCCTAGGATTAGGCTGTAAGAGGAAGGAGATTGCTTTATTACTATTGCATCTCCAAGTCCCTTTCCTTTCACCTCAAGGCGGCAAATACCGCCACCTCAGTAAACGAGGGTTAGACCAGAGCCAAGGTTAGGGCACCCAGTGCCTTCAAGGCCATGCTCTGCGACAGGATCAGCACCCCGACGCTCCAGCCCTCTGGCCCCTTTTCCCAGGCTCTTACTCCCTGGAAAGCTCCACTCGAGCGGCACAGCTCTGCGTTACACCCGGGCCGATCCCCTCCAGCCTTTCCTCCCCTTCCTGCGCCTTTTGCCCACCGACCTTTCCTATCCCTGCCGCCCCCCGCCGCCGCCGCTTGCCGCCCCGGGGGGAGGCGCGGAGCACCTGGTGAAGGCGAAGGCCATGAGGCTGAGCACCGTGAGGCTGAGCAGGGTGATGGTGTGGGGCCGGTAGAAGAACTCCAGGGTGATGTCCTCCACCTGCTGCTCGTTGATCATGCGGAAGTGCAGCCGGTAGTTCACGTCGTCCTTGCTCAGAGTCCGGCTCCCCCCGTACGACGCCATGGCTCCGCTCGCCTCTTTTTTTCCCCCTCGGAGCGGGGGCGGGGGGACGGCGAGGCCCCGTTGCTTTCGCCTCAACCTGGCCGCGGTCGGAAGGGAGCGAGGGAGGGAAAGGAGGGCGGGCGGCCACACCGCGGCGCCGCAGCAGCACCACCACCAGCGGCTGGCGGCCCCGGCAAGGCTTGAGGTAGAAGAGGAGGCGCTACGGAGGGGCTGGGCCTTGCTTTGCCGCCGCAGGCCGCGGGGCGGTGCCGCCCGGCAAGACTCGCCTTCCTCGCTTGCGTCAGAGGCCCTCGCCGCCTACGGGGCCAAGGGGACCGGCGTGGGCCTTCCGAGGGGAACAGGGGCGGGAACCTGAGGAGAGCCACGCCGCGGCCTCCTGCGCGCCCAGGTAACCACCGGTCGCCGTGCTCGCCTGCAAGGGCCCCGCGCCTCTGAAGCCGGCGGAGCGCGGGAGCGAACCCAGCCCTGGCGCTGGTCCTTCTCCGGAAGAAAAGACGCCCGTCGAGGAAGAGCTCGTTTTCTGAGGCAGCTGCGGAGAGTCGCGCCGCCCCTACATGGTTTCGCCCCCGAGGGATGTTTATTCTGTGCCAGGTAGACCTGAACAGGGTTGTGTGCCGTCGGGTGGGGGGGGACGTGTTCCCCCCCAAGGCAGGCCTAGAGAGGCGAAGCTCTTGGGATGGGGCACGGAAAACAATGGGGGGGAACAGGCAGGCCTAGAGAGGCGAAGCTCTTGGGGTGGGGCACGGAAAAAAATGGGGGGGGAACTGTGTTTTCCCCCCCATAGCCGTTTCATACGGCTTCAGAATTTCTAGAAATTTTACATCACTACAGGCGTCCTAGATGCCCTTGTTCAAGAGGGCTTACTTCCTAATAGAGTTGTGCAGGTTTGTGTTTTTGGACTACAATGCCCAAAATTTCTCAGAGGCTACCGCTTTGCTTCGAAGTAACGTCTCAAGATTGTCTCCATCTTCTGACAGGCATAAGGATGAACTCCGGTGCGCGCTTACTTGGAAATAAGGCTTAAGTGCCAAGCAGCATTTTTGTTCTGCAGTCCTTATGCACCGTAATTGGAAGTATACTTAATTCAACATAATAGTTAAGATCTTCTAAACATTTTAAAAATTGAGTTGCAGAGCTCTCCCAATCATTATGAAACCCTGAAACAAGGCGCAGATAATACCTTTACTAGGCTGTGAATATGAAGGAGGCGTGCTGCACAACTCTTACTCAGGCTGGACACTGCAGAATTTGAGGGAGAGAAGAGAGAAGGGGAAAAGTCAAAATATATCCTGGCCAGAAGTTGAGGCTTCAGGATCTCTAAAGCAAAATCCTTCGATGGAGATTGCAAGCTGGTAGAAACTTTGGGACAATGGGTTTCACATGTGGATATAGAATCAGTTTTGCTTTATAAATTCTGAAGCCCCAGGATGTACAGTACATTTACATTTCTCTTTGTCTTCCACCAGTGGGACGTGGTGGCGCTATGAGCTAAACCTCAGAAGCCTGTGCTGCAGGGTCAGAAGACCAGCAGTCATAAGATCAAATCCACGCGACGGAGTGAGCTCGAGTGAGCTCCCGTCGCTTTGTCCCAGCTCCTTGCCATCCTAGCAGTTCGAAAGAATGTAAATGCAAGTAGATAAATAGGTACCACCTCGGTGGGAAGGTAAAATAGCGCTCCCTAGTCATTCTGGCCACGTGACAACGGAAACTGTCTTCGGACAAGCGCCGGCTCTACGGCTTGAAAAACGGGATGAGCACCGCCCCCTAGAATCAGACATGACTGGACTAAAAATGTCAAGGGGAACCTTTACCTTTACTTTTTGTCTTCCACCAAGTGGAATCAGGGAAAACTCAAACACTTACCTGTTTTTCATATTACGATGGTCATATTTTGAAAGCATTGCCCACTTTTGCTTTGGGAATTTGTTTTAAAAACTGACAGCCTCCCCCCTTTTCTGCCTAGTACTTATGCTTTTCCTTCTCTTGCCCACTGCCCTGTCTTTCTCTATTTGTTTTCAGTGTCCAGAATTAAAAATCTTTGGGAGATAGACAAACAGATGTTTTAATTATATGTAGGTATTAAAATTAAGATTGTATGTATAGAAGGTATAACAGTAAATGATTCAAGCTTGCAATTAAGTGTATACCGTTTTTTACATGTTTCTTATGAATACAGTACGTATCTTTGTTTGTGGTACCTTGAAAATGTAAGAGAAATAGATTCTCCTTTCTTGCTTAGTTCTCTTTGCCACAGGAAATAAGGTATAGTCCTTTCCTCTATTTTATGTCCTATAAATTGGGACTGATGACTATAGGGGAGTCTGGCTGGGACATGACTTCAGAAATATGCAATGAGGATGATCCCTGATGTTAGTCCTAGTGGTATATTCCAAGATTATGATCAAAGGATTAGGATCATTCACCATGATTTGTATTGCTGTTGGATCCAGGCAGCTGGAGGAGGGTGGGGGGTTTTAAGTAAAAAAAAGGGGGGATCCTGTTGCATGTTTTTTAAAGCACATGAAACCACACTTTGGGTCTTGAGGGGCCACATGTGGTCCATGGCCTATACTTGCTTAGTCTTGCTCAAGACCAGTGTTATCAATCAGGGTAGAGAACATTTTTTTCTCTAGAGAACCATGCAGTGGGTAGAATCAGAGCCGAATCTGATGTACAATTTAATAAAAGGTTCTATAGGTCACCCCTCTCTCTGTTCAACCCTGTCCATCTTTTTCTGCCACCCCTCTCTGCAGACTTATATAAAAGGAGTACAATGGACAATTGGAAATTTCCTACTTAGAATGATATAATAAATTCTAAATCAGTGACTCTTGCAGACTCCATTTAAGAAGCTAAACCTGGCCCTCAACAATGGCCATTAAATTTTAGGGACTTTAATATAAACATACAATTTTGGAACTATCCATGAAAACCTGGTGCAGAAGAGGAATTAGGAAGACGAATTATTATTGAAAGCTCACTTTATCTTTTTATTTTATTTTCTTAATGGCCCAGTAAAGGTATTGCCTGTTCCTGCATTTGTATTGTTTTGAGGATCATACAGTCTTGTCCTGATTTTATCCATACACTTAGATTTTTCTTCTATACTAATGAAATTAGCTCACTGTTTCCATGAAAGTAACGAGGAGATACTTACCTGGTCCAAGACATTTAGCTGCTTGAGGCAATTGACAAGGTTACTCCTTGGCTAGCTCCATGTGCAAAAGCCATGTAGACTGCTAACTGAGTCTTACCGTACTTCAATACTGGGGAGGTAGGACAGGCACATGGTGCACTCCACTTTGTTCTCCAGCACATTGCCACTGCACCCCAGCATCTGTGCCTCACTCTGGCTAACAGTAGGGCTGAAGCTCTGAATACAATATTGTTTTTAATGGTTCTGTGACATCTCTTTGTCATGGTGTTTTATTACAGAGCACCTTCAGTAAGATGGCTTCATTAGTGCGACAAACATCTAGATGTCATTTCTTGCTAAAGACATACAATATTGTGAACAGTACAGAACAACTGGGAAGACGGTCCATCAAAACATGGACATATTGTCTGGAACAATGGGGTTTCCCATTGCTTTCACCTCAAAGAAGAAGTCGCAAACCAGTAGTGAAGAACCCAAGAAGTTTTCTTTTTGATAATCACATAGAGTTCTGCAGTTCAAGTGTTGAACCAGATCATATTCCTGAAAATAAAACACTATCTTCTGTTAGTAAATTGGAAACCGAAACAGAACCTTGTTCAGATATTGAAGAAGGTAAGTGATGAAAAAAATGTATAAGAGAGTAATGAAAATAGTTGTGGTTCTCATTTCTTCTGCATTTCATTTTTTTTTTTTTTTGCATTTTTTGCTGGCGATGAAGAAGGTAAGTGATGAAAAAAATGTATGAGAGAGTAATGAAAATAGTTGTGGTTCTCGTGACATTGGAATTATTGGATTAGGTTTACAAATTATTGAAATTATTGTACATCTTTAAATCCTTAAAGGTTTGGTCACATCTTCTGTTTATTTTTTTAAAAAATTATTTACTTGTGGCTAAGGGGATGAGCCTTGCATTATATTTCTGACACAGTGGTATATGTGATTGTGTAAATGGGTATTCACATAAAATACAGCATAAATTGGTTACTCTGGTAGTGATAGCTTCATGGTAGTATCATGTTTTATATTTATAAGTACAGAGCTCCAACTACATAAGCTGCTCTTGCAGTCTGAGCATGTACCACTCATGTGTGATTGTGTGACCTGGTCATGTTGCTATGGCAGTTTTCACAGATGAAGTGCTATATGTTAAAATATTGAACAGAGTTTCATGTTGTACTTAGATGGAAATGCCCTGATTTGAATTTTTTCTCAGCCATAACATTCATTACCTCTTATTCAACTGGTTATGTTCTCTGTACCTAATCTATCTCACACAGTTGTTGTGAGAATAAAATAGCAACGTATGTCAAGCTCCTTAGAGAAAGGGGGGGAGGTTAAAAGGCCATAAATACATAGAATAAGATATTATTATCCCAACCTGCTGTAGTGGATTAGCAGGAACATATAAAATAGAGCACAGTCTTATTATTTTGATGTTTTTGAACAATGAAACCTCTATTGGTTTGATGCACATACTGGGATGTTTAAAATAACCCTAAGCATTTGCAGAGGTTTTTTCATCTCAAACCATGATATGTTTAGCTATGATTGTATAAACTGGTTTGTGGGTCTATAGCTATAGTACCATTATATTCCTTATAAGAATAACAAAGGCATTGTTTTTCTTACCTCTGCTCCTCCTTTCTGAACAATCACAGAGCCATATCAGATTTCTGTTGATGCTCTTGGCATCTAGGTTATCACAATCTAGGAATGGCTATGTTTTAGTGTGCTCTATTCATACCATTTTCCCCTGACCTGCACCCCATTTTGGTTTTGTAGGTCCCCTTGTATTACAAGTGCATGATGGTGGCTTATGACTGCTTATCTTATGACTGCTTATCCTATTATGATAAGATGGCTAGTGTTCATCTGGGGAAGTAAAAATTATGAGTCAGTAAAAATGGTGATGTTTCAGGTACCATCAGACCCTTGGAGGCATTTCCAGTTTAATGCCAAAGCATGGCTTGGTGTTACAAACACAAGTTTTGGGCCCTGCCTGCCCTTTGACCTCTCATTGGAAGCTGCCAGACTCAATTTGTGTTATGAGAGTGCTGTGCACTATAGGGAGGTATACTGTACAAGTTGAATAAATAAATCTGTGCAATAAAATAGTTTGCATTTTGTTTACAGATTGCTAGAATTAACAGAATTGGAAACTGCTTTGGTTAAGTAGTAAATTATAGTTTGCTTCTTAGTGAAGTTTCAAATCTCAATATATAAGGAGTATGGGTCAGGGAAAGTTCAGAATAAGGTCAGGTCTGCTCATACTTTGAACATCAGACTAGCCAGTTCTGTTTCCTGCACTATATTGTTGTTTCAAATCTTGTTCCATACATCCACTGGACTTCTAGAACATAAACTTTAATAGATTAGAATTCATGAAGACATATATTATGTTGGACTTCTAAGAGTCTATGAGACTGCTTGGTTTTTCGCTATAACAGAAGTACCCATCTGGAATTGGTGAATTAAAATTTGTGCATAACCATAGACTGTTTGCCACAAGGACTCCACCTTCTGTTGCTTCATATATTTTGTCACGACAAGCAGTAACATTATGCTCACTTTTGTAATTCATGCAAACTTGAAGGAAAATGTAAGACAAAAAAATTAATCATCTGTTTAAAGCATGATGCAATCAGGATGAAATGTAGTTTGTAACATAACAGTAACTTGGAGAATTTATAAATGGACAGAAGTGAGAAATGGGCACATGACTTCTAGTATATTAAGATGTGAGAGACAGAAGTTCTTGTGTAACCGAAAATGTTGTGGGCATGTAGACTCTATACACTGCTCCCCATTATTAAATAAACATGAAATTTCTATAGACCACAGGAAATATTCTATATATTTTAACCTTTTCCCTCTTTAGCTTCTAGTTTGTGTCCACAGATTCACTTTGATGCTTTAACTGATGTATATAAAAACATTTCAGTGAGAAAAATCCTTTTGGTATAACTTTGCACTGGCATCACCCAAATCAGGCATTGGAAACATTATTTAAACTCATGGAAACTGTCCCATTCCTCTCCCCACTTTCCTGTGGAAACCTTTGGGAGTCTTGGGACAGAAGCCTTTAACAGTAAAAACATCACTGCTCGTTTGCCAGTAGCAGTCCCAATCTGCCACTTTTTTTACTGTTAAGGTAAATCTTGAGGTTCGCAAAGGCTTTCCCAAGGCAGAAGGGAGCTCTGAAAGCTTGGGATGAGCAGACAGGCACCCTTTTCACTGGCCAACAGTTAACTGAAAGTTCAAATTTTGCACTTTCCCTGCCTCCCACGTGGTTTTTTTTCAGTTCTTAACTCAAATCTAAGTATGTAAGTCAAGTCAATATTTTCCTATGAGAGCGGTTCTTAAGTCAAAATGTTCTTAACTCAAGTCGTTCTTAAGTCAAGACCCCACTGTAGTTTGTGTCCACAGATTCACTTTAATGCTTTAACTGGTGTATATAAAAACATTTCAGTGAGAAAAATCCTTTTGGTATAACTTTGCACTGGCATCACCCAAATCAGGCATTGGAAACATTATTTAAACTCATGGAAACTGTCCCATTCCTCTCCCCACTTTCCTGTGGAAACCTTTGGGAGTCTTGGGACAGAAGCCTTTAACAGTAAAAACATCACTGCTCGTTTGCCAGTAGCAGTCCCAATCTGGCACTTTTTTTACTGTTAAAGTAAATCTTGAGGTTCGCAAAGGGTTTCCCAAGGCAAAAGGGAGCTCTGAAAGCTTGGGATAGGGGTGGGAAACTTTCCATGAGTTAAATTGAATGTTTTCAGTACCCTGTGTGGATTATGCTGACATAAAATTATGCAATAGGATTTTGCCCAAAGTTAGAAAAGCTATTGATTACCAGGATCAGTACTGAAACAAGATTTTCACTATTCCAGTGCAATCATTTTTTTTCAGTAACTAATTTTGTAATGTGTTCAACTGTTATTTCCAAAACTCTTGAATGCTTAGAATTATGACAACAATTAGAATAAAGAATCAGCACTGACCACTATTGCATTGGGAGCATTGTTTCTTTTTAAATGGACTTCCTCTTGAAAATGTGTTTTTTGTAACTAATTGCTAAACTGTGAACTAGCTGTTGCTAAGAAGTAGAAATACATTTAAAAAGCGGAGGCAGTCTTTGGTTTGCCAACTTTGGAGAATGATGTTAATTTTATATAAGTTACTACATGCAGATTTTTTTTTTCACAACTGTTTTTTTCCCTGTACTCTTAATGACTTTAGGTTTGGAAGAGGAATCATGTTTATCTGCCTTGGAAAAGATTTCAGAAGAGGAAGCTATTGATATCTTAGCTAAGCCACCACTTCCTCTGGCATCTTTCACACTTAAAGATTATGTTGATCACTCAGAAACACTACGCCAGTTGGTGCATCTAGGTAGGCATCTTTGAGATACACTGAAAGCTCAGTAATATTTTTTTCTTTTTATGTAATGTGTAATGCTATGTAGGCATATCAGCTATAGAGTAGCGTAATATGTAGAAAAATATGAGATACCTTTTTTATAAGGTGGGTGGTGTAGTTAAGAAGGTGTGTTGCCACTGCAGAAACATCTCCATAATGAGACTGTTATTGCTTGACATTGTTATTTTTGCCTACAAGCTCTTTAAGATGCAAAAACTGTGTGCTTATCATATTGAACTGCCATCATCTGTCTGTGACAAGCATTCTGAAAAGAGTGAAACAAATGCACCCAAGCATTCTTCAGTTCCTTAAATTTTGGATTTCAGGTTTTTAGAGCTACACAAATAAGATGTTAACGTGAAAAGCAACCTTTTGAGCCTTTCATGTATAGCTGCATGTCACAGCTCCTTTTGGTGCCACTGTTTAAATCTAAAGCTATGGGAAAGAGTTCATGGTGTAACTCTCAAAATGTGTTAAAATATGGGTTTGGATTCAGAGTTAGTCATACTTACAAATACTGTAGGTCTGGTTAAATCAATGATATAAATGTCTTTCATTTCAGTGGGTTCTAAGTACAGTGGTGCCTCAACTTACAAACTTAATCTCTTCTGACCAAAGGGGAAAAAAGAAAAGAAAACCAAACAAACTGTGCAAAGCCCTTGAGAAATGCAAAAAAAGCAAAGCAGAAAGCAAACAAACTGTGCAAGACCCATCGGAATGGCCAAAAAAGCAAAGCAAAAAGCAAGCAAACCATGCAAGACCCATCGGAAATGCAAAAAAAGCAAAACAGAAAGCAAGTAAACCATGTAAGACCCATCAGAAATGCAAAAAAAGCAAAGCAAAAAGCAAGCTAACCGTGCAAGACCCATCGGAAATGGGGGAAAACCCCCCAAAAGCAAATAAATCGCCCAAGACCCATCAGAAATGAGGGGAAAACCCCAAAAGCAAGCAACCCCCCCGACCCATTGGAAATGGGGAATAAAAACCCCAAAAGCGAGAAGACCCATCGGAAATGGGGGGGGAACCCCAAAAAGCAAATAAATCACCCAAGACCCATTGGAAATGGGGAACAAAAACCCCAAAAGCGAGCAACCCCCCCAAGACCCATCACAGCATAGAAACATAATCCCACCTCCCAACCCAAAACCACACTGCAAAACCCACCCAGAACAGCTTTTAAAAAGGAGAAAGCAAAGCAAAGCAAAGCATGCTGCTTATATACCGCCCCATTGTGTTTCAAGCACTCTCTGGGCGGTTTACAAGTTAATTATGCAGGCTACACATTGCCCCCCCCCCAAGCTGGGTACTCATTTTACCGACCTCAGAAGGATAGAAGGCTGAGTCAACATTGAGCCGGCTACCTGGGATTGAACCCCAGATCTTGAGCACAGTTTTAGCTCCAATACAGCGGTTTAACCACTGCACCCAGCAGCCCCTTACCTTACCAGGCAGTCCGAAGCTTCCTCCGATCGCACTTACTCTACCCGCTGGGGCGAAAGAGCTACAAAGAAGCAGTCTCTTCGCCACCAGCGGTTAGCAATTTGAATTCCCTGCCTTTTTTCCCCTTCCTTTTTTTGGTTGTAACTCAAAGCTCCAGCCGCAAGCCAAGGAAAATTTTTGTGGCCAGAGCTGGTTGTAACTCGAAATGGTCGTATGTCGGGACGTTCGTAAGTCGAGGTACCACTATATAGTTCAAGTCTGGATCTGACCTACTGCACACAAACTCACTGTTTGCCTGTGGCATGAAGAAATTAAAGTTGATTCCACTGAATCTTTTGATTAATGTGCTACAGGAGTTGATTTGTCCAAAGTGGAAAAACGTCGAGGTGCAGGCCAGCTTCTTTTGCAGTTGGACTTTGAAAAAGACATACAAAAAACCCTTCTATTCCTTAAGGATGTTGGTTTGAAAGATGATCAGTTGGGGACATTTCTTACTAAAAACCCTTATATTCTCAAAGAAGATTTGGAGGATCTACAGACAAGGTAAAACCAATCCAATACGTATACTATTCATGTATAAATCAAATTTTTATTGTTCAGCTTCTTTGTTCTTAGAATACAGAAATTTTGTGCAGCCTGGTTGAACTCTTCTCAGTCATATTTGTAAGGAGGGGAAAGTTAGTAATAATCAAGTGTTCATAACAGATAAATAAAACATCTACTATCCAGAAAAAAAGTCAGATCCATCTCAGTGCACATTATTTTCAGATGAAATAATGCATGGAGTTTGCATATATTATTTTTGCTTTTTCTTAAACACTTTCCTGAAGCTGGTTAATAGAAGGAGATCTTTTTTGCTATTTCATTTTCATTTCATTTTTTCCCTATGGCATTTACAAAGTATTTTGTTTCATGATTGTAGAATTCTCTTGGTGACAAGTTGATAGCAAGTATAAATGTTTATAAATGCTTTTAATAGTGAATATCAACTGAGCAAAATGACCACAAAGTTAATAGGCAGTGTTTTTTGAGGAAGGAGAGTTCAGATCCTGTGAAGAAGACATTAACCTACAGTGGATATAAAAAGTTTACACACCCCTGTTAAAATGTCAAGTGTTTGTGATTTTAAAAAATGAGATAAAGATAAATCATTTCAGAATTTTTTTCACCTTTAATGAGACCTATGAACTGTACAACTCAGTTGAACAACAAACTGAAATATTTTAGGTGGAGTAAAGTAAAAATAAAAAACTGAATGGTTGCATCTGTCTGCACACCCTTAAACTAATACTTTGTCGAAGCACCTTTTGATTTTATTACAGCACTCAGCCTTTTTTGGGTATGAGTCTATCAGTATGGCACATCTTGACTTGGCAATATTTGCCCACTCTTCTTTGCAAAAACGCTCCAAATCTGTCAGATTGCAGGGGTGTCTCCTGTGCACAGCCCTCTTCAGATCACCCCACAGATATTCAATCATATTCAGGTCTAGGGTCTGGCTGGGCCATTCCAAAACGTTTATCTTCTTCTGATGAAGCCATTCCTTTGTTGATTTGGATGTATACTTTGGGTAATTGTCATGCTGAAAGATGAAGTTCCTCCTCATGTTCAGCTTTCTAGCAGAAGCCTGAAGGTTTTGTGCCAATATTGACTGGTATTTGGAACTGTACATAATTCCCTCTACCTTGACTAAGGTGCCTGTCCCAGCTGAAGAAAAACAACCCCAAAGCATGATGCTGCCACCACATTTCACTGTGGGTGTGGTGTTCTTTTGGTGATGTGCAATGTTGTTTTTTGCACCAACCATCTCTTTTGGAATTAGGGCCGAAAATTGGTGATGTGCAATGTTATTTTTGCACCAACCATCTCTTTTGGTATTAGGGCCAAAAATTTCAACCTTGGTTTCATCAGACCATAACACTTTTTCTCACATGCTTTTGCTAGACTTCAGGTGTGTTACTGCAAAATTTAGCCGGGCTTGGATGTTTTTCTTCGTAAGAAAAGGCTTCTGTCTTACTACTCTACCCCCATAGCCCAGACATATGAAGAATTCGGAAGATGGTTAGATGGTTGTCACATGTTCCACACAGCCAGTACTTGCCAGATATTCCTGCAGCTCCTTTAATGTTGCTGTAGGCCTCTAGGCAGCCTCCCTGACTAATTTTCTTCTAATCTTTTCATCACTTTTGCAGGGACGTCTAGTTCTTGGTAGTCACTGTTGTGCCATATTTTCTCCACTTGATGATGACTGTCTTCACTGTGTTACATGGTATTTCTAATGCCTTGGAAATTCTTTTGTACTCTTCTCCTGACTGATACCTTTTTAACAATGAGATTCCTCTGGTGCTTTGGAAGCTCTGTGTGGACCATGGCTTCTGCTGTAGGATGTGAGTAAGAAAATGTCAGGAAAGACCTACAGTGGTGCCTGGCTTAACGAGTGCACCGTTTAACAGCGAATCTGCATAGTGATGCGTTTTTTTGCGATCGCAAAAGCGATCGCATTGCGATGTTTTCAATGGCAAAACATCGCTTTGCGATGATCAGTAAGCATTTCACTTACCAATTACCGTATAACGATGTTTTAAAAACAGCTGATTGGCAGTTCCAAAATGGCCGCCAGGGAAAAAATGGTCACCCGCAGCGTTTTCGCGCCCTTTCCTCGCTTACCGGGCAGCGAAAATGGCAGCTGGATGGAGGATTTCTGCATAGCGGTGAGTTTTCCCCTGATAGGAACGCATTAAACGTGTTTTAATGCGTTCCTTTGTTTTTTTTTTCCCTGCATAGCAACGAATCCGGATAGCGACGATTTTTTCGGCACGGATTATCTTCGCTATGCGGGGCACCACTGTACTACCACAGCACTTTAAATGATGGCAGGGGTGTACTGACTCCTACTTAACATGAGTTTGAATGTGATTTTTTACTGCAGAACACAGCTACATCCCCAGTTATAAGAGGGTGTGCAGACAGATACCACCATATTATTTCAGTTTTTTATTTTTACTTCCCTCCACCTAAAGGATTTCAGTTTATTGTTCAACTGAGTTGTACAGCTCATAGGTCTCATTAAAGGTGGAAAAAGTTCTGAAATGCTTTACCTTTGTCTCATTTTTTACATCACAGACACTTGACATTTTAACGGGTATGTAAACTTTTTATATTCACTGTAGGTTTAAGGGTGGTTACACAAAAAATATTGTTAACAGGGAAAAATTTAAATGTTCTTTTCAGTGGAATGATTCTTGGATCCTATTTGATACAACGGATTATAAGAAAATAAAAAGATGGGAAAGTTGCCTAAGGACCCGTTTATCTTGCCTCACCCTTCCTCTTAAAGATTTGTTATTATTCAGCTGCTTTGACTGAGAGGAAGAGAAAAGTATTTTACTTAGATCTTAGTGTGCAAGGTAATATGTGCTTAGCATAATCCGTTTAAAACAGAATAAACTGGACCACATATATTTATCCAAAGTGGAAGTGATGTTCTTGTCATTGTCAGAATCTGCTTCTGAGAGGGAATGTAAAGCCAAGTAGTAAAAAAAGATTAGCAGTTCTGTTGACCAAGCACAGGCATCTTGTGATAAGCTGTTCCGTCACAGCAATGAAATGATTGCCTATTATGCAAGACATCTTATGAGTGGGTGTGCTGACACCAAGCTCATTTTCATATAAACCAAACTGCTCCTTTCACACATGAGAGTCTTGATTAATGGCAAGGTTTGGAGAAACTTACAGAAATATTCAAAAGGAAAGGAGAAAAAACCCAAAGAGCAAGGAATCCCGAATCTAGTATGCTCAGGGGCCATGGAGGCCTGAAACACAGTTGGAGGAGGGAAATTGAAGGTCAAAGGTGGAAATGGAATGATAGGTTCTGAAATCAAATATGGCTCAAAAACCCCCAGCAGAGCAATTTTTTTTCTCTGCATTGGTCTGCCCTTATTTCCATTATATCTTTGTGGAACTGTAACTGAGGACAAAATTGTTCTGAGCGCTGCTTTCTGTCGCTGTATCCAGAAAGAAGACAGGAGGGCCTGGCGTGCCCTGGTCCATGGGGTCGCAAAGAGTCGGACACGACTGAACAACTAAACAACAACAACATCCAGAAATACCATTGCTAAGATGAATGGAGCTAAGTAAATTGCGAACAACTATATAATAGTTCATAGAGCTGTATGATTTGTTTTGAGGAAGCAAATTTTAGAATAATAGGCTGTTGAAAAAACATTATGCATGTAAATCTGTTCTGTCTCTGGCTTGTTGCATGGGCAGAGGTTGCCCCCTTGAAAGAACTGGGCTTCTGCTTGCACAAGGAGGCACTGGATACCTCCTTGGATAAGCTTGGAAAGTGTTAATGTGCTTGCTTGGTTCATAGACCAGAATTCTGCCCATAGTTTATGACATAGTTTTTGCTCCCCCCCCCTAAAAAAAAGCATTTATGGAGACATTAGCCCTTCAGCTTTCATGCTTTTATATGCTTATGAGTAGCAACATCTGACTGCTTGTGCACAAGAAAAATTCCCCAGTGGATTTTGCCCATTGCCTCTTTATAACTGGATGTAGCTGATGGCCTCCATATGCTTTTAAAAAAACGTTCAGTTCTTTAGAGACATTTGTTTAAAATTAATTTTTGATTGTCAATGTAGTAATTTTGTGTGTTTCTCTTGTGTATAAGGTGTTTTGAATGATAAGATCATCTTGCCTGGTGTAACTAGGCTGGTACTGATTGAATTGTTACGCTAGAAACCATTAAACTAATGCTTAAGTATTGTTTTGTTCTAGAATGTTTGTTTGCCTTTAATTGGAAATCATGTTTTTTTTTTCTTGTACCTACAGAGTTTTCTACCCTTTCGGCAGCTTTGCTTATAAATAATATGATAACATCTGTCATTTTGATACCTGAGCAATTGGTATAGCTGAGTAAATTTTGATCAATGTTATTTTAATTGGTTCTTTCTTTTTCTTCTCCAGAATAACTTATCTAACATCAAAAAAATTCAGCAAGGAAGCCATTACAGAAATGGTCTCAAGAGCTCCATATTTACTCCTTTTTTCTGTGGAAAGACTGGATAATAGGTTAGGTTTCTTCCAAAATGAAATTGGATTAAATACGCGAAAGGTACCTTCTTGTTTCTACTTGGCCGGTTTTTCATGCTCTGCTTTCCAAGTTTTGAGGGGACATACTGTAGAAAGAATTTCACAAGTTCCACAAGCAGGCAGCAGCAATCTCTAGCATCACAGGAACTGAATATATTGCCTCTGACTCTGCTATCTTAGAGCAGTATGTAAAGGCTGAGCAGACAGTACAGGGACATGCATCCAGGCTGGTCAGGGACACACAATAAATATTGAATTGTTACATATTCTACTGAATGAATTTTTAGATTTCTAGTAGTTCAGCAGCGTGGGTAAAAATCAATGATTTTTTTTAAAAAAAATCAAATTGATCTAAATCATGATTTTAAACAATTTATATTTTGATTTAAATTGTCAAAAAAATCTGATTTTTAAAATTTTAATTGTGATTTAAATCAAATCTACTTTGTAGCTCAGTGGTTTAGGTATGTGGCTGGAGAGCTAGAGGTTGGGAGTTCAATTCCCCACTGTGCCTATTACAAATAGAGCCAGCCTGTGTGGCCATAGGTAAGCTGCACAGTCCCAGGATGCCCCCAGAAGAAGGGAGTGGCAAACCACTTCTGAGTACAGTATTCTGTACCTGGAAAACCTTGAAAAAGGTCACAGTCAGAATTGATTTATGGTGGCAAGCACATGATTATTATTTGTGAATAATGTTGATATATAATAGTAATATATTAGCTGAATCCTATTGGTGCTTGCATAAGGTTTGCATAACTTGCTACAGCTAATTGTAGCTATTTGATAAAGTACTGGCTCATAACTACACAATCAGGTGTGACCAGGCACATGACTGAGACTCACCCTGGTGCCTCATCAATTAACTACAGTTAGCTGTGGCAAGTTACACAGACCTTACACAAACACCAGTAGGATTCTGGCTATTGACTTGGAATTTCAAATAACTGGAGGAGTGGATGTTCTAGTGTAGAGAACTTTTCTGTTAAGAATTTGTAAGGAGGAGTATGGCAGGTTTAGGAAAGTGTTTATTCAATGTTGGGCAAGTAGAGACGGCTGAAAGACAGTCTAACAAAAAATAGTATGTAACTATATAGGAGACACACATGTGGAGATCTCCCTCATTAGCAGACGGTCTATTGAAATGTTCTCTGGCCGCAAAATTTAGGTTTGACTTGCAGACTGAGATTTGACTTACAGACCAGAAAAAAACCAAAATGGAACAAAAACGGCCTGTTACGGGATTAATCGGTTTTCAATGCACTGTAGGTCAATGGAGACTTGACTTACAGACTTTTTGACTTGAGAACCGCCTTCCAATACGGATTAAGTTCTCAAGTCAAGCCCCCACTGTATAGGAAACACACATGTGGAGATCTCCCTCATTAGCGGACGGTCTATTGAAATGTCATGCAGTTTTCTGCTGAGATTACATAAATGCTGCAAGCACACTGGCTGGATTTCACTTGAATACTTACACTGGTGCAACAGCATCAGCATAGATTTCAATGATGAAATGCCACCAGTTAAGAAGCTGGGATTGTATTTCGTATTCAGACAAGACACACAACAACTGTGCAACAGGAGAAACAACCCCTGATTTCTTACTAGCAGCAGCTAACTGCTGAGATTTATGCTCCTATCAGCAGCAGGAGCAATAGAATTCTGGCCACTCATATGTTTTATCACATGGGAGGTAACCTGGTTTTTTTATGTGCCCATAATATGCATGTAGGAAAACAACTTAATTTTGTAAGGCTAAAACAGTTACCTTCTTGTGAATCATTGACTGAAGGCTACCTCGTACATACTGGGCTGAATCCAGACCTGGCCTTGTTTTGAAGGACTTACTAAAATAAATGGCTGTTCATTTAGTAATAACTAAGTTTCAGTGGATCTTTTGTAAGCATGGCTAACTCTGGATCTGGCCCAATATGTTTCCTATAAAACGAAAATGAAATGTTTGGTTTATGGCGTAAGTGTTCATTTTCTAACATGATATGTGTTTCTAAATTGCTGTGTGTGTGATATCTTCACACATTTTCTACCCATGTGGTCTACAATTATATAGGAAAAAAGTCACACATTTCTCACATTATGATGAATTTACACTTAAAGTACAGTAATCCAGCACTACTTTGAAGTGTCTCTGTGTAAAGATAACTAAAGAAATATTAGCATAAATATATATTTCATTGGATGCAACTTAGATTATATTTCATTAGAGTGGCCCTCGCTGCCAGATGGGTGGTATATAAATCAAATAAATAATAATAATAATAACTTAATACATATTACCTACATATCTGTAGCTTGTTTCTATTTAAAACACAGACCAGAGAACTTGTGACTCGTCTCCCTAGGCTACTGACTGGCGGTCTTGAACATATTAAAGAAAATCTGAGGGTATGTCTTATTATTATTATAGTATAATAGAGTCATTGTTACAACTTTCAGCTGCAAGAAGACAAGTGTATTATAACATTGGGATAACTTTACATTGGCAGCAGTACTACATAATTCTAATACTTTCGAATAATGACCTGATCTTATTATTTGCTCTGTAGGATTGGATGGCAGAGTCTTGGAGAAAGAGTACATTTAGTTTCTTTGTATAAATACTGGAATTCTGATTCAAAGTTTGCATTTTCCTTCATGGCACACGGACTTTACTGCATGGAGATCCAGAGTATTATCACTCTGATGCATAAAACACTTGTGACAGTTTAACTCTTTATTTTTATCTGCCATGAGATGATAAAATGGCATCTTGCAGATTTAAGTGCAAGTGAAGAAGATGGTTTTCATTATATCTCATCAAGTTACTTCTCACTGATGGCAACCATATAAATTGATGACTTCCAGAAGGTTCTGTCATTACAGCCCTGCTCAGGTCTTGCAAATTCAAGCCCTCCTTTATTGAGTAAATCCCCTTCCTTTTTTCCTGTTGCCTTCCAATTTCCCAGAATTAATTCTTTTCCAGAGAGACTTGTCATCTCATGGTGTGTCCAAAGTACTATGGCATCAGTTTACTGTTTTTTCCTTCTAGAGAAAATTGAAGAAAACCATAATGTATCCTTTTTTCCCCCCATGAATAAAATGTTTTCTTTTTTAAAACACTTCTGAAATCACCATATAGTTAATAGTATGACTTTGAAAGGCAGGACTTCAGTGTTGGTTGAGAATAGTTGTGGTGGCATTAAAAGAAAATGGACTAAAGGAGCAGTTTAGAAACCTCTTCATCCCAAGTGATCTGTGTTAAGATCATTCTGGCCCAGATCCTCTTGCACAGCTTTATACCATGCAGGTAGGATATCATTGCACAATGGGAATGTTTAATCCAAAGTAATAAAAAGCTTTCCATCCTTGCCTCTCAGATTTTAAGCACACACACGCTAAGGCTCCTTTTTCCCCTGTTGAAGCCTTTGGAAGATTTGGGTTCTGGGTGCTCTAATAGCAAAAATCAAGATTGCCACCAGTGATCCACAGCAGCGATTTTTGGCTATTAAAGACTCACCCCCAGCATGGTGATGCTCCCAAAGGCGGCCCTAAAGAGCCTCAGGATCTGAAGATGGGGGATAAGAAGTGTTCAATTAATTTAAATTAAATATTCTTAATATGCAATGAAAGATACACCAAAAGGATTTTGGCCACTATGATGGCAGTGTAGCATTTATTCAAAGCAAAGTATCATAGAAATATCTTGTTTTCTGCATCTTAGTATGCTGTCTAAATATAAAATCTCTTCTGTCATGTTTCTTAAGCTATGGGATCTGAATTTATTGCATTTTATTTTCCTCTTCAGGCATTTGAGCTAGAACTTGGTTTTAATCGGAATGAAATTCGACACATAGTACATACAGTCCCGAGGAGTTTAGATGCAAATAAAAGAAAACTAACAGCCATCTTTGATTACTTGCACAACACAATGGGCATTCCACATAAGCTCATTGTTCATTTTCCTGAGGTGAGACCCTTTATTATTTATTAGTTCTATTTTTATTTTGCTTTACCTCCAGTGAGCTCTGTGCAGTATACATGGCTGTGGTTCTCCCTCTTTACAACAAACCTGTGAGACAAGTCAGACTAACAGAGAATGCCTTGATTTTAATGGACCAGTGGGAAACTAGAACCTGGATTTCTGAAGTTCAGTTCAGCACTCTGATTGCTATACTGTGCTGGACCCATGAATGTTTCCTAGTAACCTTCTTCACGGATTGCTGCCTTGTTGTGGCGAAGGAGCTTGAGTAACTCAGGGAAGCTACGGGCTATGCCGTGCCACTCAAGATGGACAGGTCATAGTGGAGAGTTCTGACTAAATGCGATCCACCTGGAGTAGGAAGTGGCAATGCCACTCCAGTATCTTTGCCAAGAAAATTGCATGGACAGAAACAAAAGGCTAAAAGATATGACGCTGGAAGATGGGACCCTCAGGTCGGAAGGCGTCCAACATGTTACTGAGGAAGAGCGGAGGACAAGTACAAGTAGCTCCAGAGCTAATGAAGTGGTTGGGCCAAAGCCGAAAGGACACTCAGCTGCGGACACGCCTGGAAGTGAAAGGAAAGTCCGATGCTGCAAAGAAAAATACTGTATAGGAACCTGGAATGTAAGATCTATGAACCTTGGGAAGCTGGATGTGGTCAAACAGGAGATGGCAAGAATAAATATTGACATCCTGGGTGTCAGTGAACTAAAATGGACAGGAATGGGTGAATTAATTCAGATGATTATCATATCTACTATTGTGGGCAAGAATCCCGTAGAAGGAATGGAGTAGCCCTCATAGTCAACAAAACAGTGGGGGAAGCTGTAATGGGATATAATCTCAAAAATCCGATATGCAGATGATACCACTCTAATGGCAGAAAGTGAGGAGGAATTAAGGAACCTTGTAATGAGGGTGAAAGAGGAGAGTGCAAAAAACGGTCTGAAGCTCAACATCAAAAAAACTAAGATCATGGCCACTGGTCCCATCACCTCTTGGGAAATAGAAGGGGAAGATATGGAGGCAGTGACAGATTTTACTTTCTTGGCCTCCATGATCACTACAGATGGAGACAGCAGCCATGAAATTAAAAGACGCCTGCTTCTTGGGAGGAAAGCGATGAAAAACTTTGACAGCATCCTAAAAAGCAGAGACCTCACCTTGCCAACGAAGGTCCGCATAGTCAAAGCTATGGTTTTCCCTGTAGTGATGTATGGAAGTGAGAGCTGGACCATAAAGAAAGCTGACCGCCGAATTGACGCATTTGAATTGTGGTGTTGGAGGAGGCTCTTGAGAGTCCCCTGGACTGCAAGGAGAACTAACCTATCCATTCTAAAGGAAATCAACCATGAGTGCTCACTGGAAGGACAGATCCTGAAGCTGAGGCTCCAATACTTTGGCCATCTCATGAGAAGAGAAGACTCCTTGGAAAAGACCTTGATGTTAGGAAAGAGGAGAAGGGGACGACAGAGGATGAGATGATTGGACAATGTCATCGAAGCGACCAACATGAATTTGACCCAACCAGGAGGCAGTGGAAGACAGGAGGGCCTGGGGTTCTCTGGTCCATGGCGTCACGAAGAGTCGGACACGACTAAACAACAACAAGGCATTGTAACAAATTGTAAGCTAATTTAATAGTAACAATAGTAAAGGCAGAAGTAGATCATGTGCCTTTTCTACATGATACAAGCACATAGATTTAACATATCTGGCTTTGTTCACATTTAAAGTGAAGTCTGTGGACGTGGTTAATCTTAAATGCCTCCAAAGCAGTGGGCTAGTTCATGAAAGGATATGACAAAGAAAACTTATTCACTTTAAAGTGCCTCGACTGTTTCTTCCTAAATCTCTTATAATTCAACCCTGACCATATTTACTCTGATTTTTGTCCCACTGATTCCAATGTGATTTCTTCCCAAGCTATTTCTCATTTCAGGTTTTTAATTCAAGGCTAATACGAATTAAAGAAAGACACCTGTTCCTTGAATTTCTGCGGAGAGCACAATATGATCCACAGCAGCCAAACTATGTCTCCCTAGAAAAACTGGTAACATTGCCTGATGATGCATTCTGCATAGAAGTTGCCAAAGCTAAAATACAGGACTTCAGAAAGTTTTTGAAAACACTGTAAAGTAATGTATAGGTTTTTTTAAATAATTAAAAATTCTTCTGCAAAGTAAATCTGTTGATGTTCTTTATCATTACAGATGTGGGGGTAAAAATATAATGTAAAAAATGTGTGGTACTGGTGAGTGAAAGCAACAGCTACCTTGAGAAAAGCCTACTTTAAAAGAGACAAGATGCTAACAATGCTTAGTTGTCCTGAGTAAATCCTAGAATTGTAGTACAAATTAGAGAAATGTAATTGCTAGGAGATAACTCATGCTTCATGTTCCTGTGCAAATTTAACTTTCATTTTGGTAATCGTCAGCAGTGTTGTTGTAGAGACTTGGCCTAGATCATTACAGTGGTGCCCCGCTTAACAATTACCCGTTTAACAATGAAATCGCTTAACAATGTGCTTAACAATTACCCCGTTTAACAATGAAATAGCTTAACAATGTGTTTTTTTGTGGTCGCTATTGTGATCGCAAAACGATGATTAAATGGGGAAAATCCACTTCACGATGATCGGTTCCCTGCTTCGGGACCCGATTTTTCACTTTGCGCCAATCAGAAAACAGCTGATTGTCAGTTTTCAAAATGGCTGCCTGCTGTTCAAAATGGCTCCCCGCTATGCTTAGGATGGATTCCTCACATTACAGGCACCAGAAAATGGCTGCCCTATGGAGGATCTTTGCTGGACGCCAAGGTATTTTGCCCATTGGGACGCATTGAACCAGTTTTCAATGGGCTTTTTACTTTCGCTTGATTATTTCGTTCTACAGCGATTTCGCTGGAACAGATTAACGTCATCAAACGAGGCACCACTGTATATATTTCACAGCCAGAGCTCACTAGAGCCATGGCATGCCAGATCTGCTGTAGTTTTGTTCTTTCTAGCCATGGCCATCCTGCTGAATCTGACTAGGCCCAACTTTTCCCATACCATTTTAGTGATTGTTTCCATCTCAGGGTTGCCATTGTCTTGCAATATTATTATCCACTCACAAAATAGGCTGTGTGGGACATCCAAAGTCTCTTCATCTCAGAAACATGATGGGGAGATACAGTCTGCCTGGATAATACAAATCCAGAACTTCCAACCTGAGTAAGAATGGAAATGCTGACAGTGCTGGGACATCCAAAGTCTCTTCATCTCAGAAGCATGATGGGGAGATACAGTCTGCCTCGATAATACACATCCAGAACTTCCGACCTGAGTAAGAACGGAAGTGCTGACAGTTCCAGAACTTCCAACCTGAGTAAGAATGGAAATGCTGACAGTGCAATCCTGTATGTATGTATGTATGTATGTATGTATGTATGTATGTATGTATGTATGTATGTATGTATGTATGTATGTATGTATGTATGTATGTATGTATGTATGCTCAGAAATAAGTAATACTGAATTCAGTGAAACTTATACCTGCATTTGATGAGGAAAATGGATGCATATGGAAACAATTTTTTAAACTAGAAATATATTTTTGGTGCAACCTGAGCCGTGAAAAGTTCAACATTCAGTACAATGAGAGGGAATCAGGTGTAATTTCCACTGCTGTGTTTTAAAATATTTTACCAACCTGGATTATCATACTCAGTTATAGTAAACTGGATAGTTAAACAGGAGTTGCACTCCAACTTTCTGTAAATAACTTTATTTATTTATTTTATTTATATTTTACCAACCTGGATTATCATACTCAATTATAGTAAACTGGATAGTCAAACAGGAGTTGCAGTCCAACTTTCTGTAAATAACTTTCTACTACAGCCACATCATCCACCTGGAATATGAGAATAAACCTGGAGCACATTGAAGAATTTTTGCAAATCATCTTAAGAGCCATCATACACTACTCTTTCTCTCACATAGATGTGTGTAAAAGAACTTCCACCTTAGGCCTAATAGAATTGAAAATGGCAGGATTTTAAGGGGCCTCTCAGATACAGCCTGTTTTCCAGCTCTGTCCTCTGCAGGAGGAGATAAATTTGCCACAGAGTTTCTGAATATGCCACTTCAAAGGATCACATTTTTCACATGAAATAAGACTGAAATGTCTGCATGTCTGGCCACTTCGCAGGAGAAAGGATATGCTGTTACCCAGTTGGCAAAGTTTGAAATGCCTGTATGGAGGAACTCCCTCGTCACGCCACAGAGGAGAGCCCAAACTTGCAGACACTGCACTGATGAATAGGACAACGTAGCTTTCCATTTCTTTCTGGATCAGCTCTTTCGTAAAACTAAATCGACCTTAATTGCACCTTCAGACCAAGTCAGCTTTAAATGGTGTGTACATGACACGGACAGCTCGCACAGTATATTGTTACTGAGGGAAATTCACTCGGTTATTGAGATATTTGCGGAGGAAATATCATAGATCCAGGAGGCGTGGCAGCCGGCATCACCTTCCCAGCGGCTAGTCAAGGGATTCGGGCGTTCGGACCGGCCTGCCTTCACTCCCATCACCGCTGCCCCAGCGTTTGCGTCGCCAGCGAGCAGGCGCTAAAGGCAAAGCCGCCTAAACGCTACACCACAACATTCTCTTTCGGCGACCGAGCGCCTCACCTGGCGCCGCTTGAACGCGACGGAGCGGTGTCGGTCACGTGACCGCCTACCCTTTGAGGCCACGTGATCTAAAGGGGGCGGGGACGGATGTCGAGTCTCCCGAAAGGCCGTGCGGGTGCGTTTCCTGAAGGGTCAAGATGGCGGCAAGGGCACCGAGTGAGTAAATACAGGGAGAGTCGAGTGGGGGGGCTGAGTGCTTTGGGGAGAGGGGCGTTTGGGGTTGGAGGCGTAATGGTGAGAGAAGCTGGCGATCATCGTAGCCGATTTGGGGAGGGGGACGTTTGGGGTTGGAGGCGTAATCCTGAGAGAAGCTGGCGATCATCGTAGCCGTTACGCCTGCAGCAGTGGAGGGAAGAGCGGTCAGGTAGAAAACGGCGAGGACGAGGTGGTGGAGGACGGGGGGACCCTCCTTGGTGTGATTTCTGGAATACCAGCAAAGTCTAATATAAGTGAGTTCTGCGCTCCGGCGGCCCTTTTCGGGGTTTTCCAGGAACAGAATACACAGAAGGGGTTTCCCGTTCCTTTCTTCTGGGACAGCCCTGGGACTGTGCAGTTTGCCGTGTTTTAGGCCAACTAAAAGACATAATAAAGGTAGTACCTCGGTAGGGATTGTGGACTTTGTTTAGTGCCAAATCAGTTATTCCTGTTTTTTTTTAAAAAAAAAAAATTCTTGAAGCAAAGATGGATGGAGGACGGAAAATGTAGACAGCTGTCCTATAGCATCAGGTGGTAACCCTGTCTTTGTCATTTATCTTGCGAGTTATAACACAAATCCTATAAACCCTGCCTCTTCATAATTTGTGGTACAATCCTGCCCCATATTATATGTTACAAGGCAGCAGATCAGTTAAATTGATGGTTGCTGGAGAAAAGGTAGAAGGCTATACTGCTGGTGGGGTCTTATTTGGCTGCCTGACAAACAGCAATGAGCAGGTGGGACAGGTTTGTGATGATGAGGTGTGTTCTGTCTTGTCCCCATCCTCATATTTATTAAACAAGTAAAGAGCAGTTCTAGTCTGTGAGGGAAGAGAAATGCAAACTCTGTGTTTGGGCAATGCCTGTACTGGGCTCAACCAAAAGGTGTGTATGCATGCATGCCTGAGTGAGCGAGCAGCCTTCAAACACATACACACAGACATATATGAGCAGTCCTCAGACATACTGTAATGTAATTTCTGTTCATAGCCTTTCATAGAGTTCCTCCTTATAATGGCTTTTGCAAAACAGTTGTGGAATTTGAGGCTGAGTTTGGTAAGCTGTAGTTTTATTACGGCTGGCTAACGCTATAAAATGGCTTTGGTCAAGACAAGTTAATGTCAAGGGGTCTACTTTAAACATGATTAAGAGTACAGTCCTTATTTGCCAGGAGGACTGAGGACTGGCTAAGCTGACACTAAATCAGCTGAGGCTGTGCTCAGTCTGAATCTCCCCAAAGAAAATTATATAGTACTGGCCTAATTTGTGCCAACATAGTGGTTGTAAGTCTGGGCTAGGAGGGCTTTGAATCTCCTCCCCCCTGCCATTCTTCTGCCAGCTGATCTGAGCCATTACAGTAGTTTGTTAGTTTTTATTTTTTAAAAATTACCCCACCTTTCTCCTTGAAAAGAACCCAAGGCAGCTTGCAACAATATTTAAACAATATTTAAAATAGAAAACAATGAGTACTGTATACAACTACTTAACCTCGTTAAAAGACAATATTTAAAGCTAAGAACAATGAGTAAAGAGGCATTTTATATCATTAAAAGGCAATATTAAAGTGAAGAACAGTGAGTATACAAATAAAAGAAGAACCAGTGCCACTCTGAGAAATGGGAAACACAAAAATGGGAAACACAAGTTGTACTAGAAATCCAGTCAAAGCAGTAATGCATGACAATCCAGCTAAAAAAAATCTCACACTGGTAGCTAGTTCCTGGGGGATGGCTTGCCTGAAGAGCCTGCTACCAACGGAACAGCGAAGATGGGGCCAGCCTAGCCTCCTGTGAGAGCAAGTTACAAAGTCTGGGAGCAGCAACAAAGAAGGCCCTCCTGTGTCCCCCTCAGATGCACCTGTGAAAAGATGGGAGATATGGTCTTTGAGATAGCTTGGACCCAGGCCATTTAGAGCTTTCTAGGTTAAAACCAGCACTTTGAACTGTGCCCAGAAACTGATGGCAGCTAATGGAGCTGTTGTAGCAGGGTTAATGTGATCGCTGTAACCACCCCCAGTCAGCAACCTGACTGCTTCATTTTGGACCTACTGAAGTTTCCTGACACTTTCCATCAGCAGCCCTACATAGAGTGTGCTACAGTAACGTAGCTGGGAAGTAATTAGGGCATGTATCAAAGTGGCCAGATCAGATCTCTCCGATCTAGTGGCTGGTACACTAGCTGGTGCACTAGTTTTACTTGTGCAAATATACTCCTGGCTACCGCCGAGACCTGGGCATCCAGCTCAAGGACAGTGGTGTCAGCTGTCCAAGATATTCCAGCTGGCATATCTTTGTTTGCATCAGATTGCCTGTGTTTAGCCAGCTCATAGATTGTGACTGCTGGAAACACTGAAAAATATTTATTTATTTATTTATTTATTTATTTATTTATTTAACTTATATGTCACCCACTCTACCCAAAGGTCTCTGGGCGGCTTACAGAATTCCTGTCTGTTGATGTTAAATAATAGTTGCATGTCACAAGTAAATTCTGACTTCTGGTGACCCTTTCTGAGGGGGTTTAGGTATAAAGTACTCGGAAGTTATTTACCTTTCTCTTCTGGGGATGTCCTGGGGCCTTGCAACTTGCCCAAGGCTACACACTCTGCCTCTTCTTCTGGGATGCACAGTGAATCAAGCACCAGCCTCTGGCTCTGCAGTCAGATATCTAAGCTATCCAGCCAACTGTGTTAGTTATAGTACATAATGTATTATATACAAGTAGAGGAGAAAATATTTCTTCTCACCTAATAGTTTAGCTGAGATTTTTAGTGTTGCCTGTAGATGTTTGAGCAAATCAAGTAAATGACACAATGGATAGTTATGATTCCAAAATAAGTGTTGCTGCTTGTTCATGAACGGGTCTGAGAATTTAATTTTATGCACGTGCATATGTAGCAGCGCTTGCATTTATCCCACAAACACAATGTTGCTTACAGAGATGCATGCAGACAAATACGAACAGGGTTAGAAAGTAACTTTAATATAGTGATGACTAATGGAGATGATTAATATTTCCAGCTTCTACCACTGCTCGTCTGCTTCAAATTGTGCGCAAATGGTATTACAATGCAGCTGGATACAACAAATATGGTAAGTGTGTATGGGCACTGTTAATGTGAAATGACTACTATGATTTTTTGAGCTTAACTCAGAAGGGTTATTTATTTAGAAAAAGATACATGTGGCTCTATGTCCTCCTTTTCTTAATATATTATTTACTTCTGATTATTCTTACTGATGTGAAATTTTAGTTACCCAATCCATATTCTTTACAGAAAATATGTAGGGTAGTTCACTTAATACAGATGAATAAACAAATGATCTCTGAGAATACAGAAGGCTGTATTAGCTCCCAAACATTTATTTTTTGTAATTCACTATTTCAGATGTATATAGATTTGTGTTGTTGTGCTAGTTAGCTGGCCAGTTGAACAATACCAACTGCTGAAATATATTATTCATTATACTAAATACCATGCAGGTGACAGTTTGCTTTACTTGTTCATGATTAATTAACTAAAGCAGGAGGGAGACTCCTTGATTCTGAGTCCTGTATAGATAGTAGGTAATGTAGCAAGCATTCCTCTTCTATCCGACCTTCTGTAACTGCAGGCCCCTACAAAGGGAAGCAGGAACAGCTTTAGCTATGTGCTGTTACATGGAAGTAAAACCTCCTGCATTATGTGGGTTTTGCATTCAGGAGAGTATTCAGTGAGGGATTTCTGCCCTTCCTGGGTCCCTATATAAGAGGTATGATTTAAAAAAAATAAATAAAAAAGGAAATAACCAGACATTCATATACAGTTTTCTAAAAATACTAATTATTACATTTAAAAGTTGTTGGAGGAGTTACTGTGCCTCACTTAGAAGTACTGCTTCTAAACGAGACTTCCAGGAGTGATAGTTCTCCTTTCTAAGCCCTCCAAAAAAAGTATCATAGTTGAGAGGAGCACTGGGATGCTACAGAAATGGATGGCTTTGGATGTGTGTGCGTATTTCCTGCCTCTGATCTACAGGTTATGACCTGAGTTTCTACACAATAGAAAGAAAATTAAATTCTAAAGTGTGTTGACATTTTTTCCTTCTCAAATCTTATCTGGTGGAGCCAGATTTACAGTCCCCCCCTTGTGTCATATTGCATTAATTTTAATATATTAGGGTAGAATTATGTTCTGAAAAAATATTTTAATGTTTTCTTTACCCCATTGCCTTTTTATATAAATGTTGTGGGGAGGTTGCAGGTTACTTGGCTGTTTAGGGCCATGACTCAAAAAACGTTGGGAAACACTAATTTAGAGAGTGGCTTTTTATGTGTATTTAGTACACTTAAATGCATAGTTTATTTAAATAATTTATGCATATCCATGCGTCCAGGCATTTCTCAAAAAGACACTTGAAGGTCACAAGCTGACAAAAAATTATTTTTGATGCAAGAATTTTTAAAATGAGATGTGTGTGTAGTATTCATTATATATGTAGGCATCCTTGAGTCTCGAGAGAGTATGGTAATGCGCTCTGAATAGAGGTCTTGGAACAGCCTCTAGTGTGGCTGAGAAGGCCAATTTGAGAGTGACAATCCCTTCCACACTGAAGACAAATACAATCTGTCCCCCCGTCCAGCTCCCGGATTTTGCTGGTTTTGGGACTGCCTCTTTGCCTTGGCCTGCTGAACAAGTGTCTCTTCAAATTGGGAAAGGCCATGCTGCACCGCCTGCCTCCAGGCTGAACATTCAGATGTCAAGGTTTCTCATCTGTTGAGGTCCATTCCTAAGGCCTTCAGATCCTGCTTGCAGATATCCTTGTATCGTAGCTGTGGTCTCCCTCTGGGGCGCTTTCCCTGCACTAATTCTGCATACAGGAGATCTTTTGGAATCTGACCGTCAGTCATTCTCACGACATGCCCCAGCCAACATAGACGTCACTGTTTCAGTAATGTATACATGCTAAAAATTCCAGCTCATTCTAGGACTACTCTATTTGGAACTTTGTCCTGACAGGTGATACCAAAAATGTGTCTGAGAGAACGCATATGGAACGCGTTCAGCTTCCTCTCCTGCCATGCACAAAGGGTCCAGGACTCACTGCAGTACAGGAGTGTACTCAGGACACAGGCTCTACAGACCTAAGCCAAACTCTTTGTGAGTCTAGAGAATGTGGTAGCTGCTTTGCCAAAGTATTCAGGTACTTGAATTGAGGTCCTTCAGTTCCTTCTGTTCCAGCAGAAGGAAGCAATCTCCCTTCCTACTGTCCTCCATTTGCTCACCAAACCACCTTTAGAGGGCTGAGAAACCTTTTAAGGCATCTGGAAGATGGAAAAAATACAAGTATTCTGATGGTTCAGTGTCCATATAATGTTGGATTTAGGCCTATAAACTGACGCACATACATTTGAAACGTTGTTGAACTTGGGCTTTACCTGCTCAATTAGAAATTGGCTGGCATTTTGAGTAGCAAAAAAACCCTCCTTCTGTTTCAGGACTTTTGCGAGATGATTTACTTTATGAAACTGAAGATGTAAAAGAAGCAATCAGGAGACTTCCAGAAGATTTGTATTTTGAAAGATGCTTTCGCATTAAGAGAGCAATGGACTTGACAATGAAGCATCGTATTCTTCCTAAAGAGGAGTGGGTAAAATATGAAGAGGTATGAATTGTTATATGCTTTATATATATGCTATATATAGATTGTGCAAATATCTTTTGGAGGAAACAACTTCCCATAGCATTTTCCAGTACATTGATACACAACATTCTTTTTGTGGGTTGTCCATAAAGTCTTGAACCAAATAGGTTTTCTGTGCTCTAAGTCAGCCTGACAGCATGTTTGGCATATACGTACAGTGTGTTAGATTTGCATCTCATTTACAAAGAGATGTTGGGTAAATGTGATTTCTTCCTTGGGAGGTTGTGAAATATTTCACAAAGGAAATCATGCATCAGCCTCAGTCTACGCAATAATTACCATCACTTAGACATGACTTGATGGTGCTGCTAAACTTGAGCCTTAAGAAAAAAAGGTTATAAATCTCCTGTTACATATGTTAGAAAATGGTTTTCAGCCTTCTGTCATATCTGAATGTGATGAAGCTAGAGACTCCCAAGCCAGGGTTGTGCAGGTACAGCTGTTTGTGTTTCCTAGACTTTATGGGACAAATGAGAGAAAAGTTTACTAACTGCAGTCTGGGTTGCAGTTTTAAAAGAGGACAAAATAGGCTTTTATCAAAATGAAAAGGAAGCTTTCCTCAGGCAGTTTTACCTTCTGCCAGGAATTCCCCTTCCCATCCCACCTGCAATCATTCCTATAGGAGAAAGCAGATGGGGACCAGGTTGCAGTTTATTCAAAACTTCTGAGAGTGTCTTATCAACTAACTTCTTATAGGAGCTGCAGTGCATTTCCACGCAAATCCCCATCAGTAAGGAAGTGCTGTAACTGTGGGAAATGAAGCTGAGACCACTGCCAGCTACTAACTGATGTTGAATTAATTCCCCGGAAGGCAAAACCATATTGGCCATTTACAGTAAACTGGCCAATTTTGTGACATCTTAACATGTCTACTGTTGTGTGCGGTTCATAACCTAGGTTTCCAGTCTAGGAAAGTTAATTCTTTGGCATGTTTGTTAAAGGTGCAAGTTCACTCTATTTTGAGTTTGAAAAGTTACCTTACTTGGTATTTGAAATCTTCTTTATAAGTGTATTAAATACATGGCTTAAATTAAGTCAGAATTTAGTCAGTAACTAATATGATCTTGAATAGGGCAAATTTAGTAGTGGTAGTATAAGAGCTTGGTTGTTGAATTTTCAGGGTTAGATTTTAAATTTACATGGCTACATTTTCTTTTCCTGAGCCGTCTGTTATTGTGAAGTAGCATATGTTTGCATCACTGCCAAAGCTGCTATTAACAGCAAAATGCATATTTTAGTTTCTAGTATTTTTTCTGTCCTTTTTTATTTTTATTTTTTATATATTTTTTTATTTTTAGGACGGACATTATCTTCAACCATATCTGAAAGAGGTCATTCGTGAAAGACAAGAAAGAGAAGCATGGAAGAAGAAATAACCGTTTCCATAATTTGTTTGAACAAATGTTTCCCTTAAAATGTAAATTGTGCGGTTCAGATGCAAAGTCTGTTAAATGTTCTAGCTGCTGTGAAGAAATCCATGCAACTCTGCTCAATAATACTTGTTCATCCAATTCAAATAAACATTACTAAATCTTCTTGGAATTCTCTCTCCTAAATTGCAAAGAATTGGTTCAAGTCTCCACATCTACGTTACATGCTAACATGGTGATCTGTGATCTTCATTCCAACAGTTTGAGTAATTCTTTTTGTCATAATAATACAGCTGTTTCCTGCAGCTGGGAGGGTAGATAAGCAACATCCTTTGCTGTTTGTTGCTTCCCTTCTGATTCATTTTTAAAGGGGTGCCCATCTGCAGAATGACTGTTTATATCCATCATCACCTCTTGTCCCTAGAGTGGGGATGTAGGCGCTCAAATATTCAGCAGCAGCAAAACTATATTGGGATTACGTAATCCCTATCGTGTCTACCCGAACAAATGGAATGCTACATTAATATATGTCTTTGGAATTTGTGATTCCTGCCAATATTTAAATAAAGGCAATTACCTCATTTAACCTGAATTAGTCACTTGGATGTATTTACTGAATTACTGAGGCATACCTAGGATACTTTGGAGTGAAATCCCATTGGATCAAGAAGGTCTCTTTTGGACTTCAAGGATTTAGAATTAACTTGTCGGTATCAACGTTTCTCTGTAAAGTGTGCTTATTGTGAGTGGCAATAGTATTCAGCAGTGTTTTCATCTGCAAAATACATCATTATTTTGTAGGTATTTTCCGGCTGTTTGGCCGTGTTCTTAAGGTTTTTCTTCCTAACATTTCACCAGTTTCTGTGGTCGGCATCTTCAGAGGACAGGAGTCAGAACTCTGTCTGTGCTCTGGTGTAGTTTGTGGGATAGTTGAATATAGCTGTGAGATCAGTTTTTTGTCCTTTTCAGGAGATTGGGTGATTATGGTGATCAGCGTGTTTTTTGTTGTGGGTGTATTGTTGTGATAAGGGGGAGAGATGACCTGTCACTGTGCTTGATGGGTGTCGTTAGCTCAAATGTGAAAGCCTTTGAGAATACAAATCATGATTTGTTCTTGGAGGTTCACCATGAAGAGGAAGTGAAAGCAGGAGCATCACAACTTCTGAAATGTTTATGTTTGGATCAATGGATTCCAGGGGGCCCTGAAACATTGCAGAGCAGTCTCAGAGTGAAATGGGTTCTTGCTTCAGAAGTTATAGCAAAAAGAGGCAAAGAAGGAAGCCATTTGATTATGTATGAATCTGATCTATTAGCAAGTCCTGTGAGAAAAAGCATGCTAAGTGACAAACCCATATTGTTACCTTGCAGTTCTGTAAAGAGAACCTCTTTAGCTACCGACCCTCATCCATGGAGTACTTTAAAAGTAATCTGAGTTTCTTAAACTTAGCAATTTCACGTTTTCCAGTCTTTAGAGAATCAGTTTTATTGGTGAGCAGAGGCATACCTAATCTGATTGTCTTTTGTCACCTAGTATGAAATGCAGAGTAACTCACATGCATGCTTGCAAGGTAATGTAATTTCAAGCGTTAACTAGTGTTACAAGAGTAGTTCTGTGTTTGCTTTCAGAAGGATACCCATCTTTGTTGCAACAACTCCCCCCACCCACAAGAATTATGTGATATTTTAAAGGCTAGCTGATTCAGTGTGGCTTAGACTTTCAAGGTCTGCAGCCACTTCATCCGATGCATGAAGAGTTATATGTACAAACATGAATTGGGAGGAAACGAAATAAACAGGGAAGTCAGAAATAAAATGCAGAAAGCACAGGTGGCAGTTGTTAGCTGGAAAGTCACAAAACAGTTGTCAAACTAAGAACACAGACATCCTTTAATAGTGGCCTGATTGATAGCTGTACTCTGAAAAAGTTGCATGTTTTTCATTCAAGAATGAATACTTTCTTTAGTATTTCAATTCCTGATATCAGTCTTGTGTTCATTTACTTTGTGCAAGAAGAGACTTCACTGTTATGTCCTTAAAGTATATTTTCTGAAAGTCAGTAGAACAGAATCATTGTACTGACCTGTGTTTAGACAATGAAAAGAGTAAGCAATGAACACTGGGGGAAAGGAAGACACAAGATTCACATCATGTGGAAAGTGGAAGTAAATGTGAAAGGCTGGGGTGCAGCAACTTCATAGTGAAGGAGAGTATGCAACATTTCTGTCTCTCCTGGTTGTTACTCCCCAGCTATTTCAGAAAAACACCAGAACTTCAAAAAGTTACTCTGGGAACATGAGCTCCAGAAACCCACAGCATGCATGGCCACTGGCTCTTTTTGTTCATTTCTGCATGCATGCATGCACTTGTGCATTCAATTTTTATACCACCCATCTAGCCAATTACTACTCTGGGTGGCATGCACAAAGTAAGGCAAAAATCATAAAGTTTTAAAATACAAAGATCAAAAAAGACAGGCAGCAAGAAAGCATTAGACAGAAAAGAAGAACCCTTAGCATGCATGGCCACTGGCTCTTTTTGTTCATTTCTGCATGCATGCATGCACTTGTGCATTCAATTTTTATACCACCCATCTAGCCAATTACTACTCTGGGTGGCATGCACAAAGTAAGGCAAAAATCATAAAGTTTTAAAATACAAAGATCAAAAAAGACAGGCAGCAAGAAAGCATTAGACAGAAAAGAAGAACCCTTCTTCCTTCACAGATTCAATTGAGAACCTCTCCAAAGGCTTCCTTGAAAAGCTCTGTTTTAGCTGTTTGTTTGTTTTAAAAAAGTCAGAGAAAGGGCACCTGGTGTAATTCCTGTGGCAGCGCATTCCTCAAGGAAGGGGCCACAGCAGAAAAGACCTGGCTTCTGGCTGTTTTTCAGGCCTCTAGAGGTGTTAGGGTCCGTGGGTGGGGTGGGTGGGGACACCCCCATGCTTGCGGGTGGGCGTGGCATGTTCATGGATGGGTGTGGCATGCTCACGGGTAGGCGTCCAAAGGCTTCCTTGAAAAGCTCTGTTTTAGCTGTTTGTTTGTTTTAAAAAAGTCAGAGAAAGGGCACCTGGTGTAATTCCTGTGGCAGTGCATTCCTCAAGGAAGGGGCCACAGCAGAAAAGACCTGGCTTCTGGCTGTTTTTCAGGCCTCTAGAGGTGTTAATATTCATAGGCACATGATCTGAGAGGGCCTGGTCAGATGTGCAGTCAAATTTGGCAGAAGATGTTCAGACAGGTAGCGAGGTCCCAAACTGTTCATATTAGAACCAATACCTTAAACCTGGCATGGAAGCAGACCCACAGTAACCAGTGCAGGCTAGCCAGGATTGGGGTGATGTAGTCATATTTCTTTACCCGGCAAGCAATCTTGCTGCTCGTTTGGGACCTCTTGAAGCTTTTATGTCAGCCTTGATGGAGGCCTCACGTGAAGTACATTACACTAGTCAATTTTTCAGCCTGCCAGCCAATGTTGTTAGGAACCTAGTGTGCAGATAGGGGTTCAGCTTGGCGATATGCTACAGTTGGAAAAATGCAGCAAGTGTCACAGTCTATAAATCATACCAAAGTGAACACCTGATTCTTAAATGGAAGGATAAATCCAAAGACAGATGGACACAGAGAGAGAGAGAGAGAGAGGGAGTGCAACATGATCTTGTCGATTCAGTTTCAGCCTGTTTCTCCTAGTCCAGTCCAGTATTGCATCCAGGCACCCCTCTACTGAAGATGATTTAACAGACATTTAAGAGCTGCATATCATCAGCATACTGATGACACAAAGCTCCAGATCTCTTGATGACCTCTTCCAGCGGCCTTATATAGATATTAAACAGCATTTTCTAGTTTGTTGTGTCTTTTAGGGTGGCTGTTTTTACTGCTCATAATGATTTCCTAGAATTGGGATAAATTGATTCTTGGCTGTGACTACAATGGCAAACTATGATGACAGAACAGTGTATTTAAACTCATTATCTGCATCAACTACATCAGCATTATCCTCCAGGAAAGCATAAGAGCTGTATATACATAGTATTGTAAATTCATCTCAAGAACTGCTATGTATACTGAAGGCCTCAGGCTTAACTGCCACATCCCTAGTCAGGGCAGAGAAAGGTCCCTGTCTGAAACTCTGGGGAATCACTATCCATCCATGTACAATAGATGGATGGAGAAAGGGTAGTCCTCGCAATACTGGACTTGGTTCCTAACATTCCTCACTGTTGGTTAGGGTTGGTGAAAGGTGCAAGTCTGGAGAGCTGCATTTTGCCCACCACCAATGTACATAGTATTGAGCCAGATCATCTCTGTGGGAGGCACTTTCATGTGTTTCTTTCTAGAGTTGGAAAAAATAACCTCTGCGATTTCTGGAATCCTCCAACCAGCACTGGCCATGACAGCAAAAGGATTTTCAGAGTTGTAGTGCAAAAAGGTAGCTTTGCTTTCTTTAAAGCAGTGGTCCCCAGCCTTTTTTGGAACCGCGGACTGGTTAGGGGGTTAGGGTCCGTGTGGGGGGGTGGGGACACCCCCATGCTTGCAGGTGGGCGTGGCATGCTCACGGGTAGGCATGCACTCACACATGCGTGGATAGGCATGGTGCACTCAGGTGAGTGGGGGCGCATGTGTGCATATGCATGAGTGCACCATGCACAACTGTGAGCACACCACATCCACCCACCAATGTTCTCACCTGTGCATGCATGTGAGCATGCCACACTCACCATGTGTGTGTGTGCAGGGGGGGCGGGAGATTGGTCTCCGTGGCTTGGTCCTGTGAAGCCCGGAGACTGGCACCAGTATGCAGACTAGGGGTTGGTGACCCCTGCTTTAAAGGATATGAAAAAGTGTGAGGAGGAACCACTTCCCAACAGAATAGAGGATTGTGAGCCGTCCCCTCCAGCGCCCACAACAGAGTGATACGAGACAGCATATACGCTGATATCAGCAGTGCACCAACTAAGAGTAGAGGAGATAAAGAGCGGGAAAGGAGAGCGAAAGGAGGGTGAGAAAGGAGAGGAGCCAATGGTAGAGGGATATCTGGTGACACGGCCTGAGGAGAAGGAAGAGGGAAAAGAGAGCTAGATTGGGAGACTGAGGTAGAAATGCAGGAGGAGAAAAAGAAAGGAAAGGAGGTGATGGAAGAAGGCATTCCTCTAGGATGGGGTTGGTTAGAAATGGAAGACCCCTGGACAGGAGAGCATGTTAAAATGAAACTACCCCTAGAGGAAATAGAAAGGAGACAGCAACATCGCAACGTGAGACCTGAGGGGAGTAGGATAGGAAAAGAGGGAGAAGAGTTGAAAAGGTAAAGGAAGGATTGGCAGTGCAGTTGGGAAAGATAGGAAAAGAGGGAGAAGAGCTGAAATGGTAAAGGAAGGATTGGCAGTGCAGTTGGGGGAAGCAGAACCAGTGGAATGGGTGGTACTGTGTATGTTTATCCCAAGAAAGAAGATCAATGGAAAGTGGTGGTGATGTCGCATCCAGAGACGCCCAAGTGGAATGGGTGGTACTGTGTATGTTTATCCCAAGAAAGAAGATCAATGGAAAGTGGTGGTGATGTCGCATCCAGAGATGCCCAAGGAAGGAGAGTGGGC